CTGTGCCAGAACTCAACTATGATACCCATGACAAGGAGCTGTTGGCTATCTTCAAGGCCTTCTGCCATTGGTGGCATTACCTAGAAGGTTCCACCCTACCTGTTGATGTGGTGACAGACCACAAAAACCTTGAGTACTTTTCCACCTCTAAGGTTCTCACTCATCAACAGGCCTGCTGATCAGAGTACCTTTCACAGTTCAACCTTTCCATCCACTTCTGACCTGGCTGCCTAGGAGCCAAACCTGACACACTTATGTGACATTGGGACATCTACCCAGGGGGGATAGGGACTATGCACAGGTAAATCCTCACATTCTCCACCCTATGTTTACACAGGAGCAACTCATGTCATCCCTCTGTACCACTACCCTCATGGCACCTGTGTTCCACACCACCATGGTCTTTGATGTTGAGTGCTTGCACTCCAACATCATCTCTGCCTTAGCCTCTGAAATGATTGCATGCTTTTCATTAATCATGGTGTAGTCAGTAAACTATCATCATCCAGTCCAAGGGGTTAGTGGATGGATCAAAACAGCTGGTGATGGCTCTTTCATGGGCCATATTACATATTATTTGGATAACAACTGGTGACAGAATACCCATATGAAAATGACAGCTCATTGGGATAATTTTGGAACTTTATGGTATACTAGGGATGCAGTCCTTGGGGACACATATAAAATGATATAAGATGCTCATCAATGCTTACATAATGTATCATATGGTCTACTAAATGATTTGTCAGCAATCAAACAAAGCCAAACTATGATTTTGCACCACTAAGCCTCTTTTCTGTGACACAACTCAAGAAATCATCATTCTGGCTCATCAGGGAAGTTCTTGCAAGGCAATCTCAGCAAATACTGGTGTACTCTCTAGTATAATGAATAGAATATTCTCTCAGAAACACAAGTCCCTTTGGATACCTGCTAGCAGTCCTCCCCTGCATTGTTTCCTGGCCAATGCCCTACATGTCCTGAAATTAAACAGTACTGGGCAAGCTGAAAATGGTATGGAGGTACAATCTGGCATTCAGCCTATCATGAACACACCAGTCACCTATTTGCTAGTGCATCACAGCCAAAGAAAAGCTTGTTTGAAGGCTCAGATGAAGCACAACTCTTGGGTGCAAATCCAGTATCATGAGGAGACTGACTAGACTGTACTCTGAGCTGAACTGTGGATCACTGGGAAAGGGTTATTTCATCATATAAGACCAAAGAAAATATCCAGCACCAGATAACAAGGCAGGAATTCACACCCTGGAAGCTTCATGTCATATCCCTCCCATGGTACCTAGAGTCTAATGAGGATTTTGCTTCACCCTGACCTCTATACCAGTTTAACCTTCACATAAATGCACTAGTTAATGGGTGATTGGTTTGTTTATGATAGACTCAATGCTAGATTGGACCTCCACATCATTTTCAGCTCTCACAGTACTGATTAGTTCCATGACACACAGGGTATTCATGGGGAAACAGTGCAGGGGATGACTGCCAGAAGGTTTCTGAGGAGACCAATGGTGATGAGAGTATATTCTATTGTGTCATGACAAGGAGGCCTAGTGGTGCAAAATCACTGTTTGGCATTATTTGTTTGTTGACAGGTCATTCAGTAGACTATGTGATACATTATGTAAGCATCTGTGTTCACCTTATATCATTTTATATGTGTCCTGAAGGACTGCATCCCTAGTATACCATAAAGCCCCAAAATTGTCCCAATGAGCTGTCATTTTCATATGGGTATTCTGTTATCAGTTGTTATGCAAATATTATGTAATATGCTTATGAGAGAGCATTACCAGCTGCTTTGATCCATCCACCAACACCTTGGACTAGATGATGATAGTTCACTGTCTACACCATATTTAATGAAAAACATGCAAACATTGGGACAATTTTGTGAGCCACTGTAGTTGCAACATTCTCTGGCCATAAATTGGCTGCTAGAGGATACTTGGCAGATGGTAAGACATGATGTATGATTGGATTATTGTGCAGAAGAGAGGAAGTTGCCACTTAGAAAAGTATTTTATATGTTTGGAATACCCCTCAAACAATTCTACTTATGTACATGCAAATTAAATAGGGAGAGCATGTACATGTTGGACAAGATAATTTGATGTCATACTGGAGTCCAAGATGGCAAGACAATCCAACTTGAGATGGAGATCCTGCTTCACTGTTCTGCCTGCTCCCATACCACCCACAGTTGCAAACCCATGCAACCATGACTCACATTCCTGGGTTGGACAATGAAGCACTAGACTGCCTTCTTGAGGAAGCTGAGGATGATCCCACTGATGATGAGGTCAAGGCTTTTGCCTTGGACAGCTGACTATCCACCCTTTCCAGCACCCACAGCCTGTCCATTGTGCCCTCCCCTTCTTTCCTTCCTACTTGCCTCCATAACCTCTTCTCCCATGATACCCCTATCCCCTTCCATGGCTTCTCCTGCTACCTTCATTCCACCTTCTGCACTGACTGGGGACAGTCAGCATTCAAAGTCCCCTGCAGGGGTGATGTGAAGTACAGGTTTACCCTTGGGTGACTGGGCTTCAAGACCAGGTGTCAGGGGCTAAGTCTGGTTGACTAGAGTCAAGGCCAGTGTAGGAATAGGAAATCAGATGTACCTAGAATTAGTAATTAGTCAGTGGTGGGTGAGTATAGTGCTTGACCCAAGAGGGAGGTTCTTGCTGGAGAGAAAAAGTGTAGTAAAACTGTGAAAAATGCGAACTAAAAAGTATACTTAGCTCTGTCTGTCCAATACCTTCTGCCAGTCCTCCTGGCACTTTGGGTACTCCCCAAAGTAATAATTCTGACCTCAAAAACTCACCAAAATGTGAGACTAAATCACCCTACTGCTGAGGGCCTCTGACATGGATTTCTTTTATGGTAAACTGAACTTGCATGAACACAGCACATGTGCTTAGTCAGCAATGTGGCTGCTCGCCACTAAGTCCAGTGGTACAAACATGAAAAAAAAAGCAAGAGATAAAACAAGTCCCTCAACCCCTAAACTCCTGACCAAGATGAATTCTCCTAGGGAACTCAAACTCATTCCCTACATCTGAGAGGTGGTTTAAAATTTGACCATCCTCAGTTGTCCTCCTCCTTGCACAGACACCCTTGTCTTTGCACTTGCTCCCCTTGACCTCACCACACATCCTCACCTCAAACTCCCTCAAATTCACCATGCCTCCCTCACTCTCTATCCTCATCCCCTTCAACCACAACTCTTCACCACTAACCTTCTCACTACTTGAACATGACTCCCTTCTTTCCCGAGACTTGCTCCCAGCCTCGCAGAACAACCCTCTCTGCCCTCAACACTTCTTGCCCTTGGATGTGACTTTCTTTGCCCACAATTGCCACCTGGCCTCGAGCACTCCCCCCACCACCCAAACTTCAAACCAAACCACAATGGAGATGAACTCCAGGCAAATGAACAAGTGAGTGATAAATCAAGTGCAGAGTAGAGCAGGACTGCTCTTTGAGGCACAGTCTTGGTGCGAAATGGTAATGCAGTGTAGTGCAGCACTGTGGCTGGTACAGCAGAGATTGGCCCACTACAAGGCAGCTCAAAGATGTATATGTGTACCTAAAACAAATCTCAATCAGTTGTGTATTTACTATCCTTATATGCATGTGCTCTCGATCATTGTTCATCCTTAAGATGACTTAGCACAAGGAAAAATGCAGAAAACTTAAAACTACACATCAGAGTGAGTAGAATCACCCCAAAGGCTAGTACAACTTGGTTGAGCAACATCGCATGAAGCAAAACATCCTGGTAAGGAAGACTATATATCAATACTCTCACTGGGTCCCTCTCTATACTGTCCTTCTCATTCTCATACCATCAACTCTCTGCATGCACACACACTTGACTTCTCGTACTTCAATCAGTACCTTGTCTGGTGGCCAAGGCCCTTGCACTAAGTGTCACTGAATGACCTCAAGTTGCCCACCTTTGTTTGCTACTCTTTTGACCCTAAACACAAAGGATACTGGCATGGTATATGTTCAAATCATAATAAAGCATGTCACCTTGGATCTGTATATCCTCAAGCCCTCTCCAAAGATAGGTCTTCAACCCTGGCAGGTACAGGTGCTAACTTCTTTTGATCCCAAACTTCGGCCTTCCACCTCACAGTCAGGTGGATGGAGTCTTGATACCAAGTACTGATGAATGGCTTTGAGCCATCCATCCCCATCAACCATCTTTCCTTTCATGCTAAGGTACCTGTACTTTGCAGTATATAGCACTCAAATCAAAACTGAAAGGGGCACCTTGATCTCATAATTCCCCTTCCTGACATATTAACTTGAGCATTGCCTTCATGCTCTTGAGCATGTCCATCCTTGACTGTAGTCTTTGCATACTCTAGAATAATGTAGTTGTAAGTAAAACAATGCAAAATAACAGGAATTTCTTGAACAAAAATGAAATGTCAAGCTATCCAGCTTGTCTAGTGTAACTCCAATGTCTCTCACAGGTTGCATGATCTCTCATATCCTTGACAGTCAGTGTCATAGTTCTAACAGGGACCATTGTAGTTGTCCCAAATGATCCTTTACAGTCTGCTGCTTCCCTTCATAGGTCATCATAGTCATGTGTATCACATTCACAGATTGTCAAAAACATCTACCTTCCCTAGAGTGGTGAAAATGTAAGTAACACTTCCTAAAACCAAAGTAAATCCTTGAGCCATCGAGCTCAGTACCCACACTTGTTGTGCCTTGTCTCCATCAAATGACTCTTCCTATTTCACATGGCTGTCAATCCACATCCAGTCCTGTCATCATTGCTAATATCCACTGTGCCACCTCCTGGCCTTCATTGTTGAACATCTCTTTTTCTTTGATACTGCACTGTAATGTTGGCATTCTTTCTCTCACATACTGTACCCATTCCCCCCATTCATAGTAGCATCATTGTGCCACATTGTGTCGCTTCACATCAATAGTCTGTTGTCCCTTCCTGTATGTCACTTCCCATTCTTGAACCCTAGCTGCTTGGACAGTTCTTGTACTCCTTTGTATATACCGAGTTGTCCTACAATAACACAGTAGTAAGTGAAACAGCACAAAATAAAAGAGAACAAAGGAGCTATTGAGCTCAGTGCATGAATCTCCTATGGTTCTCCTCCATCAAATATCTGCTGTTGCTTCAAATGACCATTGCTCAACCACAACCCATGATACCATCATTCATACTCCTATCACCTTCCACAGTCATGCATATGTACCTTGTATCTTTGGGCTCAACAGCCATTGCTCACACTCGTCAAATAGTCCTGTAACTTCTAAGATATATAATGGCTCTCCATTTGTGATGAAGAACACCTGCTCATTGACTTGAAAATGGACAATGAAGCCTGTAGGTTCACATGGGTTGAATGGGGTGCTGAATGCAGATAGGATGGATTCAACATTGGGTGTGGGTGTGACATAGGGACTGAGTGGCTGCATGGGGCTGCATAACCCACAGTGATATTTGGTTGTGGCACATATGGGAGAGAGAGTATGGTGTAGAGGTTTGCTTGACATGGTGGAAGAGTAAGAGGGACAGGGGACGAGCCCATCCCCTGCAAGTAGGCACACACATGCAATGTTTCCAATGTAGGTATAATTGAACAGAATATTGTTGTCACCAATCACTTGGCTGTCTCCAGGTCCAAACATCCCTTGGGCATCATTATACACATTGAATGACTTCTCCAGAAAAGGAACTCACTCACTGATGTCCATGATGTCAATGCCATCAAATGCAATGCTTGCAGAACTCATGTGGATGTGCCTGTGGACACTGGCTGCAATAGCCATGTTGATGACAGCATGGGTGCCCTCAATGCTGTCCCTGTAGTAGATGGAGGGGTTTTTTGTGCCCTGCTGCAGCAAGGTATTCTGTACAATATATATAATGCCCAAATTCTTTATTACATCCCACATGTCCTGCTTGTCTGTGACATTTTCCATATGACCCAGGGCTTTGTGATGTCTCTGCACAATATCCAACACAGAGACAGCATCTCCCTTTGCCAACTGTTTGATGGTATGTCAACCTTTGAAACCATTCTGATCATTGACAAGGTAGGTGTTGACAGTTCGAAACAACACAGCCACCGGCCTTGATGTGAACCTTCTTACCATAGGTGCATCATCGCTCGAAGATTTGTCAATACTTTGTAAAGGCTTGTATTCCCTGGAACAATGAAGTCGTAAGTAGAGTACTCTGAAGAAAAAACCGAACTTTGGGCCTTTGAGCCCACTCAGCATGGCTTCGATGCCTCTCGCATCCCATGTGTCTTGTTGCAACTCCAAACTTCACCTTCGTGTTGCTGTTCATAGTAGTACTTGTGCCAAGGTCCATAAAATTCCCTTGATGACTTCTCTTCAGGCATCTCGTAGTTGTCATATTTGTCATGCTGTATATCAATCCCTTGCTTCTTCGATGATGTCATCTACTCTAGAACAGTGTAACCATGAGTAAAAAGTCACACAACTGAAATAAAAACTTGGGCTGTTGCATTCAGCACTCCTGCTTGTTGGATGCTGTATCTTCGATGATTGCCATTGTAGTTCAAGTCGTAGTCTTCATGCTTGTCTTTCTTCCTTGAAGTCACCATCGTTGGTGTGTTTCCTGAGTGTGGCAAGTGGTCGCAATACATGGTGGGTAGACTGCGGGTCAAATTCGAGTGTAGCTTGCTTGATAACAGTGTCGATAGCCTTGATCTCGACCAGCAGTGGGAAAGTCTTCTCCCTGCACGTAGTTGTAGTAGGCACTCATATTGCGCTCACCTGGATGTCACCCATACTTTGGTGTGTACATCCATTTTCCCTAAAACATCGTAGCTGTAAGTACAATGTCTCAATATCGACATAAAACCTTGAGCCATAGGGCTCAACATCTGCACTCGTCACGCCTTTCTCCCATTGAACAGCTGCTCTAGCCTTGCATGGCCACCAATCTGCTTCAAGCCTCGTTGTCGTTGTTGTTGCTGTCGCTGGATTTAAGCCTTCAGCTCGTCCTGAACACATGTCCCATTTGTAGTAATACTGCTGTATCATGTCACATAGCTTCTCCTTGATGGTCTGCTGTATTTCCTTGTAGATCTTCGTAGTTCCTCGCATCATGGCAGCTCGGATGTCACTCGAGTGTCGTCTCGCACATCTGTTTTTCCTAGAATAGAGTAGACATAAGTAAACTGGTTTAAGACTGAAACAAAACCTTGAGCCGTTTGGCTCAGTATCCGTGCTCGTCAGATCTTGTATCCTCGGCGATTGCAGTTGTAAAGTAATTGCAAGTAAAATGCTATGGAATGTAAACGAAACCTTGGGCCATCGAGCCCAGTACCCATGCTCGTCGCACCTTGTTCCCATCAAAGGAGGGCACAGCATCATCATCATCATTCTCTGTATTGCAATCATCTGGACATTGCTCGCACATTGTCGCATCTAGCCATTTTTGCTAGAATAACATAGATGTAAGTAAAGTGTCTCCAAGTCAAAACAAACCTCTGAGCCATCAATCTCAGTATCTGCCCTCCTTGCACTTCATCTCCATTGAACAGCTCTTCCTGTCTCATATGGCCATCACTCCACATCCCAGCACTGTCATTGTCATCTCTTGTAGCCTTGCAATGATGGTCCCTTGTCTCTCTTCATACACCATGTTGGATCCTTGTATGTCAGTTGTACTCCATCACAAATCATCATTTTCCCTAGAGAAGCATAGACATAAGTAAAACATTCCAAATTCAAAATGAACCCTTGAGCCATTGGCTCTCCATCTGCACTCCTTGTGCCCCATTTCTGTCAAGTGGCACATCTGATCTTGCTTGGCCATTGACCCACACTAAGTCTGATTGTCATTGTCATCATCACTATCTTGCTACTTGCTGCTGTTGTCACTCTCGTCATTGTTGCTGTTGCTCATAGTCATGGTAACTTCCATACAGTATGTTGTTCACCCCATTCTGCATATCCTGCAATCACAACAATCTTGCATAGTTGGCCTGTAACACTAGAGTCATCAGTGTGTAGTATTACTTGTGTGCACACATCCTCAATGCACAGAGCAGTCACATGACTGCACTTAGTCAACATTGCAGGACTTTCTGCACAAGTCCTTTTGGAGGATGACGTGCTGCAGGATTGTCAAGTCTATGGAGAGGAATATACTCAGACTTCAAGTTGGTTGAAGCTAAACAATGAACTACCTATGGAGAGGAATATACTGTAGGTAGGTAAGTAAGTGTTCCAATATAATGAATGGAAGGAGTCCCACCTCAGACTTCAAGGTGGTTGAAGCTGAGGTACAGTAAGGGAAAAATAAACTGCTAAGTGTCCGCTTTTGGATTACATAATGCTGTGCTCGGTGAACCACAACTAAGGTAAAGGTGATAAACTCCAACAAGTCCTAATACTGAGTGTGTGCATCAATACTCTCGATGAATTCCTGAATACAATATATATTGCTGGCACCACATGGTGTGAGTCAAAGTGTGGTTCAGTGGTGAAAACCAACCAAAACCAACACAAAAGACAAAAAGAGTGAGTGGTGGTGTGCCTATGCAGTACCTAGATGGTAGAACCTGTTCTTTTGGAGGGGTTTTTGCAAGCTATAACACTCAAAGATGAGTGCTGAGGGTTGGGGGGTGCTCCTGATGAAGAAGGAGCAGGAATGTGAGAGAATGCAATAGGGTCAACTGCTGTCAGTCTACAGAAGAGGATGACGACTTAATTCGATGCTCTGAGCTGCACTGAGCTCAGGAAGGACTTGGAGCAAAGCAGATTGATGATAGATGATAATAAGCAAGGTAGACAATAGTTGGACCCTTAATAAAGTCTCAACTATCAAAGCTGATGGAGGATTTTATCGAGTGATGATAAAAATGTGAGCAAGAGGGGCTCTCTGACATCTTCTTTTTTCTGCTATCTAAGTACAGTGATTTATATACAGTACAGGGGTGTTGCCCTTGGAAAACAAGGTGCAAACACTTGGTAAGTGATTGGTAACCGATGAGTAAGGAATGTAAGTGATGGGTAATCATCTTGGAAAGCATTGGTAAGCATTTGTAAGGATAAGCAAGCCAAAAGGTGAAGGATCAGTAAGCAAAGTCAAAAGATTGGTAAGTATTGGCAATAGGTGAGTCAAAGACAGTCAGAATGTCAAAGTATGAGTCAAGTAATGTCAGGAACTGGGAAAGCACACTGGAACTGCATCAGGGGGAGGCTGTGCATGTCACATCTCAAAGAGATCACTTCTAGGCCAAGGTGGGATGACAGAGAGGCAGCACTGATCTGATGCTGATATAGTACATCCAAAAGTGGACAGGGTGAGTCAGATGTCAACAGGGGTCAAGCTTTGGGGGTCTGTGGGGTGACAGGAGCATAGGGCATTGCAACTTTCCCCCCCCAAACCATCCTCTCAGTGAAGCAAATAAAAACTTCATGAACAAGGCTCTGTTGGAAGAGAGGATGAATGGGGAGTGTCTTCTGCTGTATCTTGCAACAAGGAGGCAAGATGTGCATCATACTCATCATGGATGTGATCAGGGAGAGTGGGGAACAGTATATTATACTGTAGCTGTCACAATCTTGGAAGAATGATGGACAAGACTGGTATGAAGACATTGCAGGGAGCAGGGAGGAAGGATCCATATGCTTCTTGGACTGGAGAGACTGAAACAACCACATAAGACCTTTCCAAGCAAATGACAGACCTGAGGCAACCAAAGAGCATCCTCCTAGAGGTCATACTGACAAAAAGAACACACTGTCCAAGCTGGATGGGCTGAGAGGGCACAGACAAGGGTGGGATGTACCAGGATGCTTCAGGATGGAAGCTGGTAGGAACTCCTGGTAGATATATGTAGCCATGGTCCCTAGCAATGGGGACAAGTGAAATGATTGATGTGGAGGCGGCCATATCAGAAGAATTAGTGAAATGAGTGTCTTTTGGAGGGAGTGCTGTAGAAATGTGTGGAGTGCATAAATCCTTTCCAATTTTGGAAGGCAGGATTGTGTGGCTGAGCACTACAAGTGAGTGTGGGAATGGTCTTGGTATCTGCAGAAACAGTGGAGATATGTTGAAAACTGGAATGCCATACATGGGCACTTAAGAACTTTAACCAGTGCTTAACTTGCTCCCTTTCTTTTTCTTTGGCACTGATGACTCATTCTTGTGCAAGGGATGACTGCTGACATTTCTGGCTGTCCTTCTTTGCATGAGGGCTATGGTCTTCATCTCCATTCATCAGCTGTATCCATGTCCACCTCACCAAACACCTTTGGTGTGTGACAACAGTTGCAGAACATTTCAAGTGCAAGGTCATCCACCCTTGCCACATTGTAGGAAAAGTCCAAGTAGCTGTATAATATGAGCTCAATGGCTTAGATAACAACAATAAAAATGAAGGGAACAAATTGCTCATCCCAAGGGATTCTGGACTGTTGAAACTAGAAGGCAAGATTCAGCACTTTATTGTGGGAGCAATTTGTGGCATGTGTGGCATGGTCCATGGAGTAGTACTGGCAATGCAAGCAGTGTGAGCAGTATACATAGTTTGTGTGTGGCAGTATGTGAGACATGTGGTGTAGACAAAGTGATAAAGAAACCTGTAGTGACCTTCCAAGTGCCAAAAAGGTATCATTCTGTACCTAAGTACAGGGCTTTATAGTCTGGGCAAACCCAGAACCTAAGTAAGACATGGTACAAGTAAAGGAAGGCTGCACAACAGCACATACATACAAGACAGGCTGGAACAGAGGCTGAGGGCATAATATGAGCACTAAAGGAATAGAGACTGTGGTAAAAGAAAGAGTCCAAAGGAAAGGAAGTGACTGGAGCACAGTGGCCATGGGCACAGTGTAGTGCAAGAGGGAGTGAGGGTGTGGGAAGGTAGCATGTGAACAATGGTGGATGCAAGAGGTCTGGAAACGTAATGGTAGTCACAGAATGGTCGATGATAGGGGCTTACATGTCCAAGGAATGCAGATTCCTTACAATGTGCTTCAACAATTCTACTTGCGAAACTTCTTGTGGCGGCTTCCTTTGTGTGACCAGCTTCAATGGCTCCTCGATCTCGATCCTTCTTGCAATAACCCTTGACTCGGTCAACTTGGTGTGATTCATGTGCTGTGGTGCCCTGTGTGAGTAATGATCTCTTTGTATGCCAACCTTTTTGCTTTGGGACTGCCTGTGAGTGTTTTGAGCTCTTCAACTTCAACTCTTGTGGGCTTCACCTGTTCTTCGAGCCTTTCTGCTTTGAATTTGAGTGGAATCTTGGACATAAACAAGTCATTGGTTAACTGATGTGCATCCCAGCTGACTGAAAGAGCTTCGATGGGGTCTTCTTTAAGACTTTGATACCTTATACCAACAGTATCAGTAGCTAATTGAGGACTTCAGTGAAAACAAAACAAGGAACCCCTTTGAGTGCACTTGCTCACCTTGAATTCGATTGGGGCCTTCATTATGAGTGGTTCTTCCACCAGCACTGGTTCAACTTGCTCGAGCTTTGCCACTTCCTGTAACTTTGGAGTCAGTAGTTCATTCATACTCAAAGAAAACTCTTTCTTCTCAAAATGGGTTGCTGCTGCTGTTTTGATGAGCCTGCTGGGGCTTTGGTCTTCACTCTTTGACTTCTCAGATGGACTGCATGGCTGCATGCAACTTGTCAAAGCTATTTTCAGCACTTTCTTGCATTCTACAGTGAGGGATGAAAGTGTTGCAATGTTGGTGAGGTGTGAATTGCTGCTGATGTGGCTCAGGCTATTCTACACAGATAATCATGATACTATACCATTGGAAAGGGGTGACTCTAAGCTTTCCAGAGCACTAAGGTTCAGTCCAAGCAAAGCAATACATGTGGAGATACACCCTATTCTTTCCAAAAAGTGCATTGCAACACTTTTGTCCCTGACTGGTGAAATAGTGAAAAGTGACCTTTTGATGGGATTGAGGGCATGAAGGATGGGAAAATATGGTTACATAATAAACCACATGATCTTCCAGATGATTTGTCAGCATGTGAACAATGACAAACATTGAATTTGTACCATTAAACCTCCCCCTTTTACCACAACTCACAAAATCATCTCTCTGGCTCACATGGTCATTTTCTTGGGGAAGTCTTATCAAATACTGGTGGCCACTACTGTACCATCAGTATAACATGCTCTCAGGACCATCAGTCCCTTAAAAAACCTGCTGTCAGTCATTCCCTGGACTGTTTCCCCCCCCCCTATGCCTGATGTGTTCTGGGACTAATCAGTACTTGGAAGGCTGAGAATGTATTGGAGGTCAATCTGGCACTTCAGAACATGATGGACAAACCAGTCCCCTCTCAACCAATGCATTTCTGGCACAGAAACACTGGTATGGATGTTGGGGTGAGACAAAACCTCCTTGTGCTCTGAGCACCATAAGAGGGTTCACTAGATCTTGCTCTGATCTGAACTGTAGATGACTGGGGAAGGATTATTTGGTCATATGTGACCAAAGGCAATATTTATGGCCTGATGGAAGCACAGGATTCTGCTCCATGGCAGTTCAGTAGCATATCCTTCTGATGACACCCAGGGGTACAGAGGATTCTGTCTTGCCCTAACTTCCATACCAGTGTTCCTGTGCCAGAAATGCATTGGTTGAGAGGGGACTGGTTTGTCCATCATGTTCTGAAGTGCCAGATTGACCTCCAAAACATTCTCAGCCTTCCAAGTACTGATTAGTCCCAGAACACATCAGGCATGGGAGGGGGAAACAGTCCAGGGAATGACTGATAGCAGGTTTTTTAAGGGACTGATGGTTCTGAGAGCATGTTATACTGATAGCATGCTTTGTTTGGATTGAACCTTAGTGCTCTGGAAAGCTTAGAGTCACCCCTTTCCAATGGTACAGGCATCATGATTATCTGCACAGAATAGCCTGAGCTACATCAGCAGCAAGTCACACCTCACAAACATTGCAACACTTTTGTTCCTCATTGTAAAACTGTGAAAAATGCGAACTAAGAAGAATACTTAGCTCTGTCTGTCCAATACCTTCTGCCAGTCCTCCTAGCACTTTGGGTACTCCCCAAAGTAATAATTCTGACCTCAAAAACTCACCAAAATGTGAGACTAAATCACCCTACTGCTGAGGGCCTCTGACATGGATTTCTTTTACAGTAAACTGAACTCACACAAACACAGCACATGTGCTTAGGCAGCAACATGGCTGCTTGCCACTAAGTCCAGTGGTACAAACATGAAAACAAAAGCAAGAGATAAAACAACTCCCTCAACCCCTAAACTCCTGACCAAGATGAATTCTCCTAGGGAACTCAAACTCATTCCCTACACCAGGAGACAGGGGCCAAGTCCAGTTGGACCAGAGTTAAGGCCAGGAGCATGGGAAAGTGACCAGTCTTGGAGTGCACACAGGGGGAAGCTGGTCCAGGGTTGGATCTACCTCCCTTGGTCTCAGCTTATGTGCTGTACCCTTATGCAAGCTGGGGAGAGGTCCAGGACAGGGGACAGGGATAGCTTAAGGCTCAGCCTTAGCTATAGAGTAGACTTGAGGGGTAATACAGAGTTGAGGGTAATACTAAGTTGATATTCTGACTGCAGTGCTATGAAGTATGTACATGGGTTAAATATGTGAGGCTGGTCCAGGGTTATGAACATAGAGCCAGACTTGTTAATAAGCTATTAGCAAGGTGATTAGCAAGAGAGGACAGCCATAGAGGCTGTGCCAAGACTAATAGTTAAAGTCCAGGTGACTGGCATAACTGGAGTTGGACACAGGATTTGTACAGTAAGCAGAGTTAGACAAGAGGACCAAGCTAAATATAGTACAAACAAAGGAAAACAGACTGGAGTTATGTCTGAGTGACCTGGACATGGACCTGGGAGGACTGGGGTGGAGCAGCACAAGGCCAGGAGGCCAGACTTGAGTTATTTTGGCCAGAGTTGGGTTTCTTAGGGCTGGAGTTAGGTTTTCTAGGCAGGACTAGGACCAGACTTCACTGGAGATAGGGGCTATGGGTCCAGACTGAACCAGGATTGAGTCCGAGAGTCATGGATATGACAGGTGGCCTGCATACCACTTGCTCCATCTGATACCAAACATAGTTCATTTCCCCTTGTCTGTTTTACCCTGGGTTTCATCTGGAGACCTCTGTTCCACCCCAGGTTTCATTGGTGATTCTGCTGATAGCTATTCCTCTCTCAAAAAAACATAAAAGCCACTAACAAACAGTCCAAAACCATCCAGAAAAATAACAAAACACCTGATAAGTATATAACTAACACAACATTCCTGTCACCTCTCTTACTAGTCTCACTGATGCCATCCTTGCCCAACTTATACCATGGATACTCACAACTACCCCACATGCTTTCTCTTCAAATGCATAGTCAGTGTGTGCCCCTTGATCTATTTTCCTTTCAATTCCTATTCTTCTTCCATCTCCTTACATTTGATACCCAAAGACCATCCCAGTCACTTGATAGAATGTCCCTTCATTCTCTCTTCAAGACATTGTCACATCCTACCATCAACACCATGCTATGAGGACTCACTGCTGAGAGAAGTTGAAAGCCACAGGAAGAAGACAAGTCAGGCAGTACCCTGTGCAGTGTATCTTACCACAGCTGAACTGTCCTGCAGAGAGTGTTCAAGCACTTCAAGTCATTTTGTGTCACAGCCTTGCACAGAAGGGAAAATAGCAGTATATTTAGTGCTATGTGTGCTGACATACAGACAGGAACATATGTGGAATCCAAACTAGCTACAGTCATTCCTACTCCACCACAATCTTCTCCAGTGCCTTGGCAAGCTGATTGACACACACCTGAAGTTGAAGGTATGCAGCCTGTGACTCCATGGCCTTGGCCCATAACAGCCTCAGCAATTGCAAAAGGTTGGCCACAACCTTGTTCTTGAGCATGCCACACACCAGCACCTTCTCCTTCATGTGCAAGTGGCTTTTGACCACCTCAACCTCATCATTGTTGTTGTTGTCAGCAACCCTCTTGGAGGAGCTGGCTTTGGTGGACTTTGAAGACTGCACTACAGGTTGTTAGCTCTGGACCCCCTGTGATGAGATCACTACTTACCAGTCGACATGCCAACTTGTGCCTTCTTTCCCACTGACTTCATCAACCTCTTGCACCCCTGCTTCATGCACATGCAGTCATCACAAGTGTGCCCCACCAGTCCTGTGCACATGGTCTTCTTCACCAAACAACACATGCAGGGCTCCTTGTGGAGGATAGACCCAGGCAGTATGGTGACCTTTGGAACCTCGACTTCATCCTTGCTCTCTGCAATTGTCTGCCAGGAATGCTAAGGCCCTTGGGGTCAGAAGCTGGCATACTGCATGTAACATGCTCTTACCTTCCATGCAGGCCAAGTCACCTTGATGTGTGACATCTTCACCATTGCAGCTGGTGCCTCTATGTTTGCTCCCTGCTCACTGACATCCTGTGAGGCCTCCTCTCCCATCTGCACATCTTCATTGGCCTTTCCCTGCACAATCTCCTTGGCCACCTACCTCTTGTAGGCCTCATCAGCCTCTGCCATAGTGGGCCCATCCACTGCATCTATCCTGGTGTCAATGCCCAGCTCACTTCTGCACTCAACAAGGAGGAACACTTCCCCCTAGGGGGCAGTCAATGCTGCAAGTCTCAAATGAACTGTGCACTTACTGTTTTCATCTCCCATCAGCACATACACATTGCCTTCTCCCACAGCTCCTCCTTGTCATCCAGGAGGCACCTAGCCTCAGCAACCAGAGCTGTGGAGGCAGCAACAAACCTTGCCTTCAGAGCAGCCTTCTCTGCTTTGACTGGTGTAGAGAATGAGTTTGAGTTCCCTAGGAGAATCCATCTTGGTCAGGAGTTTAGGGGTTGAGGGAGTTGTTTTGTGTCTTGCTTTTGTTTTTGTGTTTGTACCACTGGACTTAGTGGCAAGCAGCCACATTGCTGACTAAGGCATGTGTGCTGTGTTCATGTGAGTTCAGTTTACCAAAAAAACAAGCAATCCATGTCAGAGGCCCTCAGTAGTAGGGTGATATAGTCTTGCATTTCAGTGAGTTTTCAAGGTTAGAATTATTACTTTGGGGAGTACCCAAGGTGCCAGGAGGACTGGCAGAAGGTATTGCACAGGCAGAGCTAAGTATTCATTTCAGTTCGCATTTTTTTACACTTTTACTACACTTCTTTTCTCCAGTGGGAACCCCCCTTTTGGGTCGAGCACAAATCTTGCCCATCACTGATAATTACTAATTCTAGGTACCATCTATTATCAATTCCTACATCTGGAGCCCACTGCAAGGGGGGTTCTGTTCATTTTGGGGAAAGAAGCCACCTCATTATCACTGCATGAATTTATTTTTTGGATTAGGTTGGACAAGCTAAGTGTTTAAAGTCTTGATTCTAGCTACAGTCTACACTCAGGAACTCTGAAATTTTCAGAACTGTTTTTTGAGCAGCAAATGTTGAGCAAGCAACCAAGTCACTTCAGTCAACCCCCCTTGGAGACCTATTAGGTCTGAAGATTTTGATATAAGTATTAACCTAATAGGTGTCATTTTAGTGGGAATTCCCAACTTTTGGGGATTCTCCACCACCATTCCTGCAGATTCTCCAGAGCAGCAATTTAATATGGTTGGAAAAAACATTTTCTCCATAATATATATATATTATACATCAAATGAAAGGGTAGCTGGGGTCCAAATTGGACTTTCTCCAGGCTAAATAGACTCCCTTTCCAGCTTGATCCTGGGCTTTCCCCAGCCAAATAGACCTGCTTTCCAGGTTGATCCTGGGATTTCCCCAGGCTAAATAGACCCACTTTCCAGGGAGAACCTGGGCTTTCCCCAGGCTAAGTAGACCTGCTTTCAAGGTTGATCCTGGGCTTTCCCCAGGCTAAATAGACCTGCTTTCCAGGTTGGTCCTGGGATTTCCCCAGGCCAAATAGACCCACTTGCCAGGGTGAACCTGGGCTTTCCCCAGGCTAAATAGGCCCATTTTCCCAGGCCATGGCAAGTTGGAAGCCATTCTTACAGAGTGACACAACTTGAGACCATCAATTATGGCACTTGTATTGGAATCCTAGGGTGATCAGGGGGATTCCTTGAAAGGCAGGGTGGATGGAGGAGAACAGACAGCAGGTGAGTGGTACAGGGGGAGAAAGGGGCAGGGCAGATGATAGAGGAAAGGGAGGTAGAATGACACCTTCTGCATATGACATCAGAATCATCTGGGTGTTAACTCTCAGGAAACATCCCCCTGACCAAACACTCCACTCATCCTTATGCACTCAAACTAACCTACCCTGTGCTTTAGCTCACCCTGCCCCTCATGCTGCCCTAACAAGATGATGGAGGACAGTTTGGACACCAACAAACTCCCATGACAAAGTCAACAAATATACCATTGGAAAAACTCTGTGATTTTCAGAAGTTTGGGACACTACCATCTCCTCTTTGACACCAGGAAAATCACACAGGTGTGAGAGGATGGAGACAAGGAACATGAAGCAGAGAGTATTGTCCTATGAAAGAATGAACTGTTGAGTGGCTCAAACACTAACAACACCACAAGGTATATCAGCAGTTGGTGTAAAGGACAGAGAAGGTGATCCTCTAAGTGCATACTCCATGTCCTGCTGGGGATTGAGTCTATGTCATGTTGGGAATTCTCCTTGTCAAGTGTGGGGATTCTCCATGTCATGTTGGAGATTACCCATGGCCTGTGGGGGTTGTCCATGTCAACTGTGGGGATTCTTCATGACCTGTGGAGATTCTCATGTGTCAAGGATGGGGATTCTCCATGCCATGTTGGGGATTTGCAATGGCCTTTGGGGATTCTCCAGGACAAGGGTGGAGATTCTCCATGTCAAGGATGGGGATTCTCTATGGCCCACTGGGGATTCTCCATGCCATGTTGGGGATTCTCCATGTCATGTTGGAGATTCTCCATGTCAAGTGTGGGGATTCTCCATGACCTGTGGAGATTCTCCATGTCATGTTGGGGATTCCCCATGGCCTACTGGGGATTCTCCATGCCACATTGGGGATTCTCCACAGCCCACTGGGGATTCTCCATGACATGTTGGAGATTCTCCACATCAAAGGTGGGCATTCTCCATGCCATGTTGGGGATTCTCCATGGCCCACTGGGGATTCTCTGTGTCATGTTGGGGATTCTCCATGTCAAGGATGGGGATTCTCCACGTCATGTTGGAGATTCTCCATGCCATGTTGGGGATTCTCCATGGCCCACTGGGGATTCTCCATGCCATGTTGGAGATTCTCCATGGCCCACTGGGGATTTTCCATGCCATGTTGGAGATTCTCCATGTCAAAGGTGGGGATTCTCCATGGCCCACTGGTGATTTTCTATGTTAAGGGTGGAGATTCTCCATGTCATGTTGGGGATTCTCCATGTCAAGTTGGAGATTTTCCATCCTTGACATGGCAGATCCCTACCCTTGACATCAATCACCTAGCACACCATAAGCCTTCTTGTCATCCCTGGATGCCACAAGTGCCCACCTTGATATGGTACATGCAGTACAACAACATCAATACAAGCATGCAAGGAGTGTCATACATATAATTAATGATCATCACAGGTGTGCCAGCAGGTGTAGGAGGTCCAACCTTTCCTGCTAAGTTCATCATCACCCAGCACAGCCAGGAGCTTCTCCTTGAGTTGGTGGAACTTTGTTGACAATGTATCCTCATCCAAGGTTGCTAAGCTTGCAGTGGTCAATGTGGAAGATCTGAACAGCATTGTGAATGATATTTTACAACTTGACAGGCATGTAGTGGGGAGTAATCAATACCAATCTGCCAAAATCCAGCATGGAAGCCACCCTTCTTGCCTGTAACATCAACACAGTACTTGTGCTTGAACTCCCTGCACAATGAGGTAATGTCCAGTGATGGAAGCTGAATGGTATACACTTTCCTTCCACTCTGCTGCCCAACACAGACAGACATCTGCAAGACATTGATGTATGAACATTTTGATCCTGCAGTAACCATCTTCTTGACATTATTGTCCTCCTTCAAGTGCTCCTGCACATATCAACCAGAATGGTCACAATCAAGGTTAAATTTACATTCAACCATACTTTTGAACAATTCTAGGATAGTCATGCTAGGCATGGCCTTCAAGTGGTTGTGATATGCATCATCAATAATCTCCTGGACCCTCTGCTTCCTTTCTGCAATTTTCTTTGGTGATGAAGCTTGTCACTTTCAGTCCAGCAATAGATCACCATTGCTGATACTGAAACCATTATGGAAAAGCCAGTAGTTGATGACCATTTGTATACCAGTGAAGACCTGACACATGGCAAGACATTTCTTGCAGAAGACAATATATATCAGACTGCCCTGGGTCACACCAACCATTTCTTTGTACATGAACCAGATGAGGTCACCCAATGGATCATGCACTGCACTGCCATAGTAGACCATGACATCCTCCAACACCTTGATGAGACATCATTGGATATAGCCTGTCTCCTCCATTGACAACAGTATCAATGAGAGCTTCTTGACCAACCATGGCATGGCAACAGAACTCCTGCAGGGTCAGCCCACACAGGTATGGTTCTCCATCAATCCACTCACCTCTGAACTGAAGTCATCCTTGGTAAAGTGAGGTAACATCCAATGGTGGAAGCTAAATGGTAAACACTTTCCTCCTACAACTCCACCACCTGACACAGGTGGATATCTGTCAGACATTGATATATGAACCTTTGGGTTCTGCAGTGACCATTCACAAGCAAGGTCAAGTCAGTTTATGCTTGATTGTAAAGTTACAAAATTATGTCTTGCCTACTAAACCTAGTGCATGTTTTGATTTGTGTGCATCACTGGGTTTTCAATCATGGGGAATGAGTAGGCACACTGCACAGTCCCAAGAAATAGCATGCAGTGGGGGAGAAATGAAATGTGGACAACAACTTTTAAGAAATTGGTAAAGCCAGGAGTTGAGAACAGGATGGCTTCATCATCAACCTTTGCTTCTGAATGAGCCTTCAACTCCAAAGCATCCTGAGAACAAGTGAATGTCAAGGTCAGTAATAGGGGGGAACTGCTCAGTGCCCATCTCAGCCAGGTAGCCAAGCTGAAGACATGTGCATCATGTTCATCACTGTGAGACTGCACTAGTACTGGCAAAGAGGACAACACAAACAAGGGATGTAGTCATGCACATCAGCCCCTCTACAAATCATGAATCATCAGACACCTCCCAAAAAAACAATGGGCAGGTCAGACCATGCCACAGATATATTGAAACCTATAGGCTACCTCAGTAGGTGTGAAACTACTGAGGGAATAGTAAAGGGAATGCATCACTGTGTATGCTCTAATGTGATTATGTAATCATGGCTGAAGCGCACCTAAGTCACAACCACACTGGCACTTTATAATCTCCAACAAGATAGGTGTCACCAGTCCAGAAAAAACATGCAGGACAAACCAAATTTCAGACTGGATGGTCATCGAAAATACAGCATCCAACGAGCATGAGTGCTGAATGCAACAGCCCAAGTTTTTATTTCAGTTGTGCAACTTTTTGCTTATGGTTACACTATTCTAGGGTAGAAAATGACTTCAAAGACAGAATGTGTCCAGTTACAGTGTGATGGGTACAACAACCAAGAGAAGCCACAAGAGAAAAGTTAGAAGCAACTCTATGGAATTGCATGCAAGACTTAATACAAATAGCAGCACAATAGAGGGTTTTGGAGTCGCAACTTCATGTGCAACACACAAGGCATATCGAGACCATGCCGAATGGGCTCGATGGCCCAGGTTCTAGGTTTTTCTTTCTAGCATTTTACTTATGGCTACAGCATTTTAGGGAGCGCAAGTTTTTACAGAGTAGCAATGAATCTTCGAGTGTCGATGCACCTACAGTACAAAGGTCCAGATCAGGATGACCTGCAACCATGTCCCTTCAAGATGAAGACACTTACCTTACTGTTGATCAAAGTGAGTTCATAGGACAACATATCATTGAATGGTCAGTGAATGGTGTCCTGTTTTATTTGGGAGACATTGTAGATGATTGGGACATGTTGGATATATTGAACAAGTTGGGTGCTGTGTGTACCGTACATGCTACCTTACTACAACAAGGCATGGAAGACCCCTCCATCTTCATCAAGGCCAACATCAAGGGCACCCAAGCCATCATCGACACAGCAATCACAGCTGGCATCCATATGCTCATCTGCACAAGTGCCACAAGTGTTGTGTTTATTGGCACTGACATCATGAATGTCAACAAGCAAGTACCCTCTCTGGAGAACCCGTTTGATGTGTGTAATGATGCCCAGAGACTGCTGGATGGAGGATGGAGCATTTTGAGTGTATCAATGCAACACCTGTTTAGAGATCATCATGCATGAACACATTCTCAGAGGGGACAGGCTCATCCCTCGTCCCTCTTACTCTTCTGCCATGTTGAGTGAACCCAAACTGGGCCTCGACAGTGTGACAACGAAGTCCAGCGAATCTTTATACCATGCTCTCCCTCCCATATGTGCCACAACCAAATATCACTGCACGATACACAGCTCCATGCAGATGCTTGGTCCCTATGTCACACCTGCATCCAATGCTGAATCCATCCTATCTGCATTCAACACCTCATTTGACCCACATGAACTCACAGATCCCATCATCCATTCTCGAAGCAATGGACAACTATTCTTCATCACAGATGGAGAACTGATTTATTTCTGGGACATTACAGGACTATACAACAAGCATGAGCGAGGACTATCAAGTCCAAAGGTACAAAGTACATATGAGTGACTAGGGGAAGGAACAAGAGTACAAAGGATGGTGGAGTGGTTTGCCAGCAATCAATGGTTGTTTGAAGAAACAGAAGTCATTCAAAGGAGGAGAGGCCTCATGGATGTACATGCTGAGCTTGACAGCTCATGTTCTTGTTTCGATTTTAGGACACCATAATTACCTCCTCATTATTATAGGATGAATGGGTATCTATGACAGATGGTGACCACAATTCAAGGGTCTGCAAGAGACTACAAGCAAAGAATGCATGGACATATGGAGAGACAAGTCTGGTGAATACCAATCAGACTACAGCAACAGTCTTTGATGGCAGAGGAAGATGCTCGACATGCGAGATGCATAGAGGCCATACCAGATGGGCCCAACAGCCCAAATTTTAGTCTCTTCCCTGACACATTTTGCTTAAAGCTACGTTATTCTAGGGCACATGAGGTCATAGAAGATGTCAATGAGGCTACCAGCTGCAAAAGGCCTGCAGTACACAATCCCACAGTGGTATGCAAGGAGAAACAACAGGCTGAAGAGTCAAAGCAACATGTTCAATGGGGGTTGGGGTGAGCTCAACATTCACCAAAAATGCTTGACAAGGAGCTTCAGGAGATCGCCCAATGAACACAACAGTCTACAGGCAAGCTATGTACTGCAGTGCCACATTTCAACACCGAGGGACAGTGTTTCGGACCAGGAGACATTTCCCATTGGAGGGACAGTGGAAAGGCCTTGATTGCTGCATGTGACAATCCAAGTTTTTGTTTTAGTTTCATGTTAACTTACTTATGATCATGTTGTTTCAGAGTACCTGACAACTATGACCAAGGGCAGTTGCATTTACAAGTATGACAGTTCCAAATTGACTTATGAAGGCTACTTGCAGTGGCACAAGACCATGCAAGACATGCAAGAGACCTTGGAGACATGCTGAGAGGGCTTGATGGCCCAAAGTTGTGTTCTTGTCTCATGGCATTTTACTTATGGCTAGGTTATTCTAGGTTACAAGAAGAGCTAAGAAGTACAAGCAAAGACTCAAGTGACCTTAATGCAGTGGTACCAGCCCTCAGCACAGAGGGGTGCATGTCAAAGGCAGAGTGCGAAGACCTGATAATGAAAGAAGATAGCCACTGAGTTGTGAAGATGAAGCTCCACTGTGGAAAGGTTTTGAGGTTAGCATCAAACAAGGAGGGGAAACTCAGGAAAGGGATATACAAAGTCCAGGTACCCTTTTTAGTTTTGGTTTGAACACTTTATACTGCAAAGTACAGGTACTTTAGTGCAAAGGAAAAGGCGATCAATGGGAATGGATGGCTTGAAGCCATCCATCAGTACTTAGCATCAAGACTTCGTCCACCTGACTGTGAGGTTGAAGGCCAACAACCAAGATCAAATGAAATTAGTACCTACACCCATTGGGGTCGAAGACCTATCATCGAGGAGGACTCAAGAGTCTATGGACTAAAGGTGACAGGTTTTATTTTAGTTTGAACATATACTACATCAGTGTCTTTTGTGTCTAGGGTTGAAAAAGTAGCAAACAAAGACAGATGACTTGAAGTCACTTGGCAACACTTAGCATGAGGGCTTTGGCCACCAGATGAAGTACTGGTCGAAGTATGAGAAGTCAAGTGTGTGTGTGTGCAGAGAGTTGAGGGTATGAGGATGAGAAGGACAGTACAGTGAAGATCCTGGTGAGCATATCATATATAGTTTCCTTAATACGAGTTTTTGCTTCATGTGACATTGCTCAACTGATTCACACTAGTCCTTGGGTGATCCTGCTCACCCTGATGTATATTTTCAAGTTTCATTGTTTTTCCTTGTACTAGATCATCTTAAGGATGAAAAGGAGTCACGGCTGCATGTGTACAAGGATAGTAATTACACAACTGATTGGGAGTTGTTTTCTAGGTACATATATGTATTCAAGGTGCTTTGTAGAGGGCCAAAAACTGCGCCTCAAGGAGCAGCCACTACTCCACTCTGCACTCAATTTATTACTCACTTGTTTGCATGCTCAGAGTTACCTCTGTGGTCATTCAGTTTAAGGAACTTGGGGGCTGTGGAGTGATTGAGGGTCAAAGGGGTTGTCTACAAGGAGGGTGAGGAGTTCGAGAAGCAGGGTATGTGTTCAAGAGGCCAGGTGGTGGTCCTGGGTGGAAGGAACTGTGTCCAAGGGTGAGAAGTTTTGAGGGCAGAGAGGGTTGTGCTGCAAGGCTGGGAGTGGGTCTTTGGAGACAAGGGAGTTGTGTTCAAGTAGCATGAGGTTAGAGGGGCAAAGAGTTGTGTTCAAAGGGCATGAGGGTAGAGAGTGAGGGAGGCATGGTGAAGTCAAGGATGTTCATGTGAGGAGGAGAGCAACTGAGGACAGTGAATTCTAAACCACCCCTTGGATGTAGGGAGTTTGAGTTCCCTAGGAGAATTCATCTTGGTCAGGAGTTTAGGGGTTGAGGGAGTTGTTTTGTTTCTTGCTTTTGTTTTTATGTTTGTACCACTGGACTTAGTGGTGAGCAACCATGTTGCTGACTAAGTGCATGTGCTGTGTTCATGTGAGTTCAGTTTACCAAAAAAACAAGCAATCCATGTCAGAGGCCCTCTGTAGTAGGGTGATATAGTCTCGCATTTCAGCGAGTTTTCAAGGTTAGAATTATTACCTTGGGGAGTACCCAAGGTGCCAGGAGGACTGGCAGAAGGTATTGCACAGGCAGAGCTAAGTATTCATTTCAGTTCACATCTTTTTTACACTTTTACTACACTTCTTTTCTCCAGTGAGATCCCCACTTTTGGGTTGAGCACAAATCTTGCCCATCACTGATAATTGCTAATTCTAGGTACCATCTATTATCAATTCCTACACTGGTGTAGGGGAGCCATATACTCCCTGAGGCTGGAACAGGAATCTGTCACTAAATTCCACTGACCTCTGTGACAAAACCCTATCACTCTATGCCTTTGGACACTTTTGGAATTCTTCCTGCTCATAACCTTGTGCTTCCTCCCAACCCCTGTTGCCTTCAGAGTTCCTCCTGACCTTCAGCATGTTGCCCAGTCATCAATAAGCTGATCCAGAAATTCCACATTCACCCAGAGTCATCCAGAATTCAGTAGCTGAGCCACATCACCACTCATCCATGCCAGTTGCCTCTAAAAAACTCCAGTTACCCCTGTCACCCCAAATTTCACAAGCTGGACTTCATGCCAGTATGCTCTGCCCTCCTATGCTTCCCCTTCCTGCCAGCTCTGCCCCTCACTTGTACATGTACCCTCATTCTGTTGGAAGATACCCCTTACTGTTGTCCCATTTTACTCTCATCTACCACTTGCTGGACTATTTCACATGCATCTGTATTTCACTGATGTCTTTCATCCTTTCCTTTATTTTCTGGTCTTTTAGTTTTTCCACCCCACCTTACTCTGACTTGTACCTACATCCCTTGTACTATATAATTCTGATGTAATGTTGGAAACATAACACCCACTTGTAGAGTCACTATCTGTGTGTGTTTCATGAGTTCAAGAGTTCCTAGAGTCTAAGTGCATATATTGAGTCTACAGTGTCTACAGCATTTCCAGTGGTCTTTGTGTCTCCTGCATCCTCCATTCCTATGCACCTTATCCTGTTTCTCTCTCATCTCCATACACTCTCCTCATTGCATAATGGCTTCTCAGAATTTCATATACCCATCTCGCTGTTCCTCACATGTCCACATCCATCTGGAATTAAATTCCATGGCCCTCACATGAATACCTCTCCCTTTCTAGTTTTATTCTCAACTTCTCCTTCCGCCCAGCACCCCTTGGGATGTTCCTAGGGAATTCTCTCTACAGCCCTCCTCTAGTTGCACACTTCCCAGAAGTCATGTCCCACACTGAGTTGGGGGTAGCTGTGTGGACCAGCTGGGAGAGTTGAGGGGCACCATTGGCAGACATGATATGATTGAGAGGGATTGATGATGGGGGGGAAGAATCCAATTGATGTGAAGGTTTGAGCTGTGCACTAATAATTATATACTTAGCAGCCATGAGGTGATTATGTCATTGGTCCAGATGCCTTTATGCAGCATTCAACAGTCTTCTCACATTCCTTGGCACCATGCTTCATTCACTTCTACATGGAATTCACCAGTGTTCCTGAATCCTTGGCACCCCACCTTCTCCATCACCATGCAGCATCATTGTTTACATCTTCTGTGCCACATGGCTGACCAGGGACAGTCAGCATCAAAGTCCCCCACAGGTGTAAGGAATCCGTGTTCCTTGGATGCATAAGCCCCTATCATCAACCATTCCACAACTATCATTATGCCCCCAGACCACTCACATCCACTGATGCTCATGTGCTGTCTTCCTGCCTACCTTGCTACCTTCCCATGCCCTTGCTCCCTCTTGTGCATCATGATACCTGCAGCCACTGTACTCCTGTTGCTTCCTTTCCTTCAGACACTTTTCTTTACCACAGTCTCTGTTCCTCTTGCACTAGTAGTATGCCCTTGGCACTTGTTGCAACCTGTCCTATGTGTATGCACTGTCACACACCTTTCCTTTGTTCATACCTTGTCTTACTTAGGTTCTGGGTTTGCCTGGACTATAAAGCCCTGTACTTAGGTACAGAATGATGTTGGAGTTTATCACTTTTACCTTAGTTGTGGTTCACCAAGCACAACATTACATAATCCAAAAGCGGACACTTAGCAGTTTATTTTTTTTTAACTGCACCTCAGCTTCAACCAACTTGAAGTCTGAGGTGGGACTCCTTCCATTCATTATATTGGAACACTTACTTACCTACCTACAGTATATTCCTCTCTATAGGTAGTTAATTGTTCAGCTTCAACCAACTTGAAGTCTGAGTATATTCCTCTCTATAGACTTGACAATCCTGCAGCTCGTCATCCTCCAAAAGGTTATGAGCCCCACCTGCGAGTTCTAATCCTAGGAAAGTTGAACATGTCAAGTCTGGTACAAAGTGTCTACTATGTCTGGTCTGTCAGCATCCACTTCTGGTCCCTCAAAGGTCCCAGTCTCCACCTCAACAGTAACCTCTACTACACCTTTGGGTAAAGCTACTCAAGCCTCCAGTTAACTCTATGACATACTGTCCCTTGAAGACAATGGTTTGAACTTCCAGACATGGAAGTACTGAATTATGATGATCCTAGATGTCTGTGGACTTTAGGAGCTTGTAGAAGGAAAGTTGAAGGCACCTGATGTAGCAGTTGATCCAGTTGCATGTGCAGACTGGCACTACAAGGATAAAGAAGCAAGGGCTCAAATCATGCTTACTCTAAAGGATGACCCACTTAGTGGTGTTCTGCATGCCACAATGGCAGCAGAAGTCTGGAAAAAGCTATGCGAGCGCTATGAAGGCAAAGGGAAACAAATGATAGCCTACCTTATAGGCAAACTATTTCATGGTACCCTAGCAGATGATGTCTCAATGGAGACACAGCTTAATGCCATGTGGCAGAAGGCAACAATCCTAAAGTCTCTTGGACAGCCCCTTGAAGACTCTCTTGTTGCCATAGCCATGGTCATCTCCCTTCCAACCTCATACTTAACCCTTTGCACTATACTCATGTCATCCGATGAGAAACTAACTCTGGACTCTGTCATTTCCCAAGTCTTGATAGAAGAGAAGTCTTGCTGCACCTCTTTGGCACAAACTGCCCTCGTAACAAAGACACCTAACAAAAAGGGAAAGAGGAATGACAAGAAAAAGAAAAAGGCTTGTGGCTATTGCAAGAAGATGAACCATGTCGAAGATGACTGCTACAAGAAGAAGGCTGATGAGGCAGCCAAGTCCCTGTCACAGGCTGAAAAGGATAAGCCTAAGGAGGACAAACTTGTTGCTAAAGTCACACGCATCTCACCTGCTGAAGACAGTGCCCTACAGCTCTTCATGGCCACTGACAATGGCAAGAATCTACACATGCACTGGGTCATTGACTCTGGTGCCTCTGTGAATATGTGCTGTCAGCATAAATGGTTCACTTCGCTAAAGATGCTCTCACCCCCACAGCCTGTAGTCATTGGAAATGGGAGCACAATTCCTGCTACTGCCATTGGACAGATTGAACTTCATATGGATCTTCCAAATGGGAAGACCAGTAGAATCCTACTACAGAAGGTCTACTTTGTTCCAGATCTCAGTGCAAACCTCCTCTCGGTGGCATACCTTGCCACTAGAAATGTCCAGGTCACCTTCATGGGTGGAACATGCTCAATCACCGATGGTACAGACACTGTAGGTGTGGGTCATCATCAAGGCTCACTCTACATCCTTGCAGCAAGGACTCCCTCTCTGAGTCATGGAACACTTGTCATACAAGGACCATCTCCACTACTTGACCCTACCCTTACTTTCCTGGCACTCGCAGCTGCAGCACCAAAGTCTGTAGCCACACCTGACTTGTGGCATTGACAACTTGGGCATGCAAATACAAAATCTGTGCTTAAACTGGTTAAAGCAGGAATGATTGAAGGCATGGAGCTTACCAGCACTGAGCACTTGAGCTCTGTATGCCAACCTTGCCTTGAAGGGAAGCAACACCATAAGGTGATACCCATCAGGTCAAACATTGAAAGCCCAACAGTACTCTACCAGACATACTCTGATGTATGTGGCCCCATGGAGACTACAGCCTGAACTGGACACTGCTACTTCATAACCTTCATTGATGCTCACTCGCACCACCTTGTGGTTAAACTAATAAAATCCAAGGATGAAGTCTTCCCCTCAGTGAAAGACTATCTTGCTTGAGCTGAAGTCGAGACTGGCAAAAAAGCAAATTATTTTTGGAGTGACAGAGGTGGGGAGTATGGCTCAGATGAGTTCAAGGCCTACCTCAAGTCAAAAGGGGTCCACCACAAGAAGACAAATGCCTATACCCCACAGGAGAATGGCATTGCCGAGTGGATGAACTGCACACTTGTTGAAAGTGCACAGGCAATGCTAAAAGATGCTGGACTGCCAAATAAATATTGGGGGGATGCTATCCAGTATGTGGCCTACCTAATCAACCAATCACCAACCTGTGCTATCTCCAAGGATGTCACACCATATGAAGCCTTTACAGGGATTAAGCCATCACTAGCCCATATCCAAACCTTTGGCTGCACCACACACGTACATATACCTGAGGAAAAAAGAAAGAAGCTAGATGCGAAGTCCTTAAAATGCATTCATCTGGGCTTTGTGGAGAACAAGAAAGCATACCTATGCTTACACCAGCCCACTGGTTGTGTCTTCGAATCCCAGGATGTAGTATTTGATGAGGGAAGCACAGCAGCAGGCCTAGATCACATCTGGATAGAAGAAGATCCTGCAGGCATGGTTAGTAAACCAGTGAACATAAGAGGGAATGCCCAAAAGGGCAATATGTCACACCTGGATACCATCAGGGCTTCAGGCATGGAAGGCCATGCTCACATGGAGTCTGATGATGGGGATCTTGAGTCTAGTGAGGCAGAGAGTGAAGATGTTGTCCATGAGGTCAAAATCGAGTGAAATGATGCACCTGATCACTCAGGATCAATGGTAGATCATTCCCCACAGCACTTGGAGGGTAACATGCCAGGCAGCAGCCAGAGTCCTAAAAAAGCGCTTGAAACAGCCTCAAAACCATCAGTAAAGTGAGCTAGGACGACACTGAAACCTACCATGCATAAAGCAACACCCCTGCAGCCCTATCCAACTCCAATTCCACCTTGAGAGACCTGCAGGTCCACCACAACACGAAAAGCACCACCTAGAGATGATGATTATCACTTTTTCATCAATTCCTATGACAGGACAACCTTACCTAGTCAACAGCTTGCAGCACCAGAGGGTTCAGGTGCAGAGAGTGAGGGTGGAAGCCCCATCAATGAAGTCACTTGAGAGTGAGAGCATGCACATGGCAACATGAGGCTGAGGTGGCTGAGACGAATGAGGAAGTGGCTTACAAAGCATCCACAACACATGACAATGAACCTCACTCATTCAACGATGCAATGTGATGCACCAATGCAGATCAGTGGTACACTGTGATGATTGACAAATTACAGACCTTTAAGTCCATCGGACTGTATGAGGAAGTTGCCCTGCCTCCTGGCCATAAACTGATTGACTCAAAATGGGTCTACAAGATCAAGTGAGGGCTGACTGGTGAAATTGAGAGGTACAAGGCTCATTTGGTAGCCAAAGGCTTTGCACAGGTACATGGGATCAACTACACAGAGACATTTGCACCTGTTATGCAAGCTGGGGATAGGTTCAGGACAGGGGCCAGGGATAGCTTAAGGCTCAGCCTTAGCTATAGAGTAGACTCAAGGGGTAATACAGAATTGAGGGTAATACTGAGTTGATATTCTGACTGAGGTGCTATGAAGTATGTACAGGGGTTAAATACATGAAGCTGGGCCAGAGTAAAGGACATGAAGGCAGACTTGTGAATAAGCGATTATCAAGATGATTGCAAGGTATGGACAGCTGTGGGGGCTGTGCTGAGAGTAATAGTCAAAGTCCAGGTGACCAGCATAACCAGGGTTGCACACAGGATTTGTACAGTAAGCAAAAGTCAGATGAATGGACTAGACTAAATATAGCACAAGCATAGGAGCACAGACTGGAGTTGTGTCCAGGTGACCTGGACATGGACCTGGGAGGACCAGGGTGGAGCAGTGCAAGGCTGGGAGGCCAGAGTGGACCAGAGATAGGGGTAAAACACCAGACTTGAGTTAAGGTAGGGCTCAAACAGTTTCAATACATATCATGTGATGTGACAGAGTGTGACAGAGAGTTGGCAAAGAGCCAGCACTGGTCCAAAGTGTGGCAGCTCTGGAGCATTGCTTCCATAATAGGAAACCTGAGGCTCCAACTTTTGGTATAGTCCATTAAAAGATTGTAGCATTACTGTTGTATGATACTTCATCTAACCTATGGTACTTGCATTAGAATTAGTTTACCTTCTTTTCATTATCAAATTCCTCTAAGATTGTTGATGGCAAAACCTGATGTCCATGATATCTCTTTGCAGCCCATGCAGCCTGCTCTCCATTCAACCCCTTGTGATATGCATCCATAAACCTGTGGGATTGAGTTGAAAATCTAGATGTGTATTAGCTCATTCCAATACTATGGTATATTAATAAAATTACTTACTTTCACATGCTATCCAATGGTACAGAATCCAGTGCCTTTATGACATTCATCTCCAGCTTGGATTCCTTTGATGAAGGTGGATAACAGCAGTAGGTCTGTTTTGCATACCCCCAGCACTGTTCAATAAAATTTAATTCACAGTGAAATTTAGGCAGACAGACCACATGGAATCCCCTTGCTGGGCATGTGGATTCCAGGATTGTTTCAATATTAATGAAATCTGGTTGATTAAATAGAATCTGGTGGCAGCAGCACATTGTTGCACTTGGCTCGCAGTGCTTGCATTGTGCCTTCAAGTGTGTGATGTTAAAGCCCAGTTCTATCAAGATCTGTGCCATCCCCTTAAATTTCCCAGAATGATGATGGCCATCTGGCCAGTAGAACTCCTGTGGTGTCTCATCTTTGAAGAATCCATATGTGATCCGAGCCTTTGTTGTCAGTGGTTTTCCATTGGGACCCAGCACAGCCTGTCCACTTGCATCTTGGACTGGCACATCAACCCCCCACTCTCTGCATCCCTTAGGCATGTTTTGTGCTGACAAAGAGTCCTCTGATCGTTTCATGTGAGTGGATGCATTATCAAAGATAAAGACATGATCTTCATTTGGATAGTGTTTCTCAAGGATAGCCATTGCTCTTTCAACATGATGGATGGTCTGATCATTTGAAAAATACCCATCATGGCCCTTTCCTGGATGAAACAAAATCCTGGCCAACTCAGTTCCATCAGGTGAGCACAGCCATCCATGATCAGCTGACACAAATTCAGCCACCATCAGAGTTGGCCTCTCTCCTTTTGGTTGTGGAGTTGACATCTTGCTCATGTGTACCCAGCCCTTTTTGCATCAATCATGAGCATAGAAGATTGATTCATCATGGAACCAGATGATGACAGTGGGCTGTGAGTCCCCAGGGGCACAAGGAAGCACCTCAACAAGCTTCCCCTCGATTACCTGCCAACTCCACATCCTTGGCTCAAGTGCATACCATGAAGGAAGGAATTTGTTTTGTCAGAATGAAACTACATCCTCCCTTTCATGGCCATCAACATACTGACCCTTACAAGTCACAGTCCAATGAAATCCACATCCAGCCATCCATTGTTTGGCAGTTGCCAGTGAGATATTTTTTCGGAGTCCATGCCACTGCATTACATCTGGCTGTGCAAAATAATCAATGATTGCAGTGGCTGTGACATTTTTCCCCAGAGATTGGAGGTGGGTGACTAGTTCTGATTTCAGATCTTCATCATTGATCCTGGATTTCGTCCAGGAGACCCCATATTTACTCAGTGGTAAGCTCACATGATCCAGGATAAACACCGTTGACCATTCCCTCAGTTTCCTTGACATGTATGTTCCCCATCCAATAAATGTGGCTGTCTTGTTTGCAGCTGTCATCCAAGTGCCACTATCAATGTATGCCCAAAGGAAATATTCCATCCCCATTAGTCGCTTTTCAAGAGATTTCATAAGTTCATTTGGTCTTTGTCTGTGTCCACATGTTCTCAGCAGTCTTAGCAACTCCACAACATCCACCAATGCACTTTGTGCCTGAGGGACTGTTGGGATCATTGACCAGAGAATGCAGATTGTCACCAGGCAATTGGAAACATAGTGAAACTTAGTTTTGGGTGACTGGAGGTGAGCTGGATGTGCATCTATTGCACCACAGTTGAAGCTGATGTGTCCATCATTTCTGTTGTCTCCATCAAATGATTCAAACCCATCCAACTCCACTGCTGACATATGGTCACCAAAATGCACTTGCAAACTTTCATACCCCTTGATAGTGTAGAAATATCTGTAGGTAGTCCTCAGTAGTGTCCAAGCTACTACTGTATATTAGCAGTACCTGTAGGCAGTCTACAGGATATCAGTATAGTAAACATACTAGGAACAATAAGTTCTTACCCTCAGTAGTGTCCAAGCTACTGAGGGAACAGTGTAATGACTGCAGTATGTGTGCGCTCTAGGGGCTTATGTAAGCAGCCAAAACATCATACCAAAGTGAACAGAAAAGACAGGGGAGAATATATCTCCAACAGATAGGGCCCAACCCATCTGGTTCCCCATTGCAAGTTGGGGGCTCAAGCTCTGGTTCCAAGTCTGAGTCTGAATCTGAGTCTGAGTCCAAGTCATCCAAGTCCAAGTTGTCCAAGTCCAGGTCAGGCAAGTCAGGACTGTCAGGTAATGTTTCTTGTATTACTGGAATAGATAACTCGGTTGATCCACATGAAATTTCACAGAGATCTAAGCTAGCAGGGGGAATCTTACACCAGTATGGCTCTAGTTGCACAATGCAGTGAGTAGACTTACATTATCTTTGTTCTCCTCGGCCTTGATGAAGTCTGACACACTCTTCTTCTTTGCCCAGCATCCAAGGTGTGCAAGGCCAGCTTGCATCCTCCTTGAATGCTTGGGCATTGGGCCAACCAATGCACCAGAGAGTGTGGCAATGCTTCAGACAATATTTGTACATGATATTAGACTTAACAATACTACTTTTACTTTGTAAAATTATCTCCTTCTTTGTTGCAACTAATTTTGATATTCTGAAACTATCAAAATCTCAGTACTGATGATTTAGACAATCTGACAGTTTGCATTTTGTAATTCTAGCTAGTGTTCATTTTCCTATTGTTTTTTCCTTGTTTTGTCACATTTTATCATGCTTTGTCATGTGACATGCATCAAAACTGTTTCTGCCCTACCTTATCTAGGCCAGAGTTGGGTTTTCCAGGCTGGACCAGGACTGGACTTGACCAGAGATAGGGGCTAAGGGTCTGGACTGGACCAGGATTGAGTCTGAGAGTCATGGATGTGACAGTATGTACATCCCATCCTTGTCTGCCCCCTCTCAGCCCATCCAGCCTGGACAGCACATTCTTTTTGTCAGTATGACCCCTAGGAGGACATTTTTTGGTCACCTCAGGTCTGTCATTCAGCTAGAAAGGTCTTATGTGGTCATTTCAGTCTCTCTGGTCTGAGAAGCATATGGATCCTTCCTCCCTGCTCCCTGCAACATCTTCATACCAATCTTGTCCTTCATTCTTCCAAAATTGTGACAGCTGCAGTATAATCTACTGTTCTGCACTCTCCCTGATCGCATCCATGATGAGTATGATGCACATCTTGCCTTCTTATTGCAAGATACAGCAGAAGATGCTCCTTCATCCTCTCTTCCAACAGAGCCTCATTCATGAAGTTTTTATTCACTTCACTGAGAGGACAGTTGGGGGGGAAGGTTGCAATCCCTTATGCTCCTGTCACACCACAGACCCCCAAAGCTTGACCCCTTTCTGACACTTGACTCACCCTGTGCACTTTTGGATGTACTATATGGGCATCAGATCAGCACTGCCTCTCTGTCATCCCACCTTGGCCTAGAAGTGATCTCTTTGAGATGTGCCATGCACAGCCTCCCCCTAATGAGATTCCAGTGTGCTTTCCCAGTTTCTGACATCACTTGACTCATATTTTGAAATTCTGACTGTCCTTGACTCACCTATTGCCAATACTTACCAATCTTTTGACTTTGCTTACTGACTCTTTGCTTTCTGGCTTACTTATCCTTACCAATGCTTGCAAATGCTTTCTAAGTTGATTACTCACCCCTTACATTCCTTACTTATCAGCTACCAATCGCTTACCAAGTGTTTACACCTTGTTTTCCATAGGCAACACCCCTGTACTGTATATAAATCAATGTACTTAGATAATAATAATAAAAAGAAGACATCAGAGAGCCCCTCTTGCTCACATTTTTATCATCTCTTAGTGAATCATTCATCAGCTTTGATAGTTGAGACTATCAGTGTCCTATATGCATTGGCTTGGCTGGCAAGCTTCCATCTATGGGGCTTATATATCAGTGGCCCATGTAATATGGCTCAGCTGGACCTGCAGTGTTCCATTTGGAATGGTGGGAGCATATTTCAGTGTGCCATGCAGATTGGACTCAGCCCAAATAGGAGTGCCCATGTACTATGGATGGCCCATAGTCCATTGTACCATGTACTTAGGGTAGGCCCAGATATCATGATCCAGTAGGACAGGCTGGATGAATATTGCAGTGTTTCATGGTGTATGGGAGGCCCATGATACAGTGTCCCATTTGTCTTGAGTCAGCCTGTGTATTATGATCACCAATCATGTGGTCTGGCACATATGCCACAGTCTTGTGCACAACAAGGAAACCAATTTCCCAGTGTGCTGTCTGACTGGATTTGGCTTGAATTGAAGTGTTCCAACAATTACTGGCCAGCCATAGTCAATATGTGGGAGAGGTAGATGGAAAATAACTTGGCTTTGGATGGCATATAATATCTATAGAACTACCTTTACATGGACCCCCTATAGGATATGTGGAGGTTATATGGAATGTCCCACTGGACCTGCAGGCATCAACCAAGTCCAGACATTCTGTACTCTCATCCAATCCCCACAGGGTATCCCTATCCAATTGTGTATGTTGTTCCTCATGTAGTAGGCAATGCAACATCAGTTCCCACCCACAGAACTAACCCCATGTCAAAGAAGCTGGCCAGAAAATGCAACTACAGAGCCAGGGATGTAAAGGAACTGAAGGCCAAGCATGGGGATATCCAATACACAATCTTCATAATTGCCAACCATGACCAGCATGTCATACCAATTGGACTGTGGGTGTGGGTCCTGGAAAAAGGGTGTAGTCCAGTTAGAGATTATGGAGACATTAGTAAAAACTAACAGCCAGTGCTGCAAGGCATCTTGCATATCTTGGTTATGCTGATTGGACCATGTGTCCAATGACTGCATGGCTTGCTTGCCAGTGTCATACAGGCCTGGGTGCATAATCAAAAGGGCACTGGACAGGATGGCAGCTGGGAGGTAAGACCACTGGGACCATTCATGACCAGCATCCATCTGTAGGTCAGCAGAAACTGATGGGGCAAAGTTCAAGGTCTGGATGCCACTTGAGAGACATACTCCTGAGGTAATATAACCATACCATATGCCCCTCTTGGTGCCTAGCTGGGGAAAACTCCAGGCACCCCAGTGACCATGAAGTTTGATTGAAATATTCAGCATTTTTCTGCCAGGAGCCACTTATCATACTCTTCAACAGTGCATGGTGAAGGGGGTCCAGAGTGGCAGGCATGTGTGTCTGCAGGGATGCCTGAATGATATAGAATGTCAAGGAAATGTTCAAACTGACTTGCAAATCATTGGTGAGGGCACTGGGAAGGTACCACAATGCAATGGTATCACTGGTACCAAGGATTACCATAGCTTCAACCACAAAGCCAGTCAGACTTGATGGATGTGCCACCAGGTGGCCTGCCTCCCAGGTTTCATCAACCCCCAATCCCATAGCAGAAAGGCACTCAGACAGTCAGATCAGATTGATGCTGCTTTGCTCTGCAATACAATTTACATTTGATTTTACATTCAGCCAGGACATCAGCTTACTTCTATTATTGTATGCTGCATGCATGCTGGCCACTATCTGATTCATAGCAACAATGCCATGTGTTGGAATGTGGAGTGGAGGATTTGGTTTGGGGGCATGTGATCCTGGGAAGGTTTGACTGCAGAATTCCTGGTGCATATAGTGTGTAATATCCCAGGTTGCACTGTAATTTATTGCCATTAAGAACATAAGATGATATGGAAAGCATGGTGTTGATGAGGGGTTAGCTGGTAGCTGTAGTGTGTAGTATGGAAACCATGGCTATGTATGCCAGCATGGTTACACATCATTGGTAAATGACCATTCTGGCCTTTGAAAACAGGTGCCACTATGGCAGCATAGTACCTCCAGCTTCCACATATTATTCCAGCATGGTACAGGTACCAAGATAAAGGCAATAGATAGCAAGTTCTGCTATGGCTCTGGCACTAGCTACACTTCCTACCACACCAGTTGCATTTCATGGTGTTCATGTTTCTTTATACACCATGCCCAAGCATTGGATGATGGACTGGGGCCTTTCCACCTAATTGTGTATTCTACAGCCATTGAGAAAACATGATGTGGCCTTTTCTAGTACAGGTCTGGCAGTGCCAGTAATGCATGGATACAATGTTCTGCTACAGCTACACTTCCTACCATGCTGGTCATATTTCAGTGTGTTGACCTTTTGTTATACACTGTGCACAAGCATTGGATGATAGCCTGGGGCCTTTCCAACTCATGTCTATTCCACAGCCATTGAGAAAATGCAACATTGCCTTTTCCAGTACAGGTCTGGCAGTGCTGGTAATGCATGGATACACTATGGTCTTGTTATTGGTCTTCTTCAGGTTGATTTCCAGCCACTTGGCTCATAACAGCTGCTGTGCCAGGATAGGCCACTTTCTATTCTGGCCTCCTGGGATGTGATTATTGACAGTCTCTTATCTTGTGGTCATCACATGTGTCAGCCACATTGCTATGTAATAACATTTGCATGCAATCCAACTCTGCTCTGAATCACCATGGATGTCAGGACCACTAATCTATCCTACCTCTCCATGATAATCCAATACATTGGTGTCCCATTTAGACAGTTCACATATGCTTTGCAACAGGCCAACAACCCAAGCAATCAACTACCAGATGACTGGTATGGCAGGTTCAGGTGGAAACAGTGAGTTAGTCAAAATTGATGCTGGTTTGTTGTGTCATGGACTTGTCCACAGCATATATTGAAGCAGGTCCTGGCTACCCACAATTCACATGGGACAATAATGAAGGTCCCACATGTCACCAATGAACTGCTTTGGTGGTCAGCCATACAAAATATGGGAGAGACTGCCCTGATGGCACACATCATGGAGTTGAATGTCCTGCAGATCAAAACTGGAGAAGTGAAACACATGATCCACACTGGTCCTATACCCCATACCTGGTGCATGAGGGACCCTACCCATCTGGATGGCTATGATCATCAGTCATTGGAGGAAGTTTTGCAGGAGGCCATGGAATTCTTTGTTGGGGTTGAGGTGTGTGGTGGGATTTTTTTCAATCATTCCATTGAATCCATGTGTGCCATAGGAAGGAAAAGAGTGTCTTCCACTGCTGTGTGACATGGACCAGATGCCATCAGATAGCATTGGCCAGTTGATTGAAAGCTGTGATGAGATGATCCATCAGGAGGAGGAGATTCACCAAGTCCATGGTGTGATGGAATTCTGCAGTGAATGGCTCACCCTTTTTGACAGGATTGGACAAGTACAGGAGCAGCTTGAGGACTTCTGAGTCAATTCAGTTACCTGGCCAGGAGCCAGCAATAAGTAGGGTGCTGTCCTCATTACACATCTCATTAGAATCTTGGTATGTAATTTCCCTGTCATGACCATGACATCGACATAAGCCCCTAACACCTACTCCGCCCTCTTCCGACATGTTCCCACGCTTCTCCGCCCTCTTCCGACGCATTCCCACGCTCCTCCGAGCCTCCTGACACCTCTCCAAGGTCCCCTGTCCATAGTTCCAACCAACTCTGCTCAACTCCACCCTCAGGCTGGTCACATGGAGGCCAGACCTTCATCTGTGCCTCCTCCAAGGCCTTGGTCAGCCCAGTGGGCTGTTGGACTTGTGGCCCTGCATTCCAGATAGGGTTCTGCCCTTGTGTTGGTTTTTCTGCATTCTTCTGCTCCTTTGGTATTTACCCTCTCTCCCTCATTGTAGTAGTTTCCTTGTCTTGGTTAAGGTCCCCATCATCCCTACCCTCTATCCCTTGTGTCAGAGGGACTGCTAACCTGTTATATGCTTATTGGTTTGCATTTTACACTGCACTGCCCTTGACCTATGTCATATATAAGGCCACATAGTACTCTGATGTAATCAGTATGAATATTGAATACAGTCCCCACCTTTGACTCCCTCTCAGTTCCCTCTGGAGTTTCATCTCCACTCCCTCTGAGTCTGCTCCACCTCTGAAATATGAGGGCTGAGCTTGCACAAGGGGGCAGTGCACTAGCTGAACCCAACACCCTCTCATCCAACCTCCAACTCTGACCTCTGCCTCCAAAACTTTCCTCCATACCCCTCTGCTCACTGTTCATTGAATATCTCACCACTTGGTGGTCAGATTCACTTCAGACTTTGACCACTGTACTCTGCAGCACAATCCACTCCTACTCCACCCTAAGAGGAAGTCAGGGGTGTTGTGTGACCCTGACACCCTGGTTTAATATTATCTAGAGATGTATGTACATTACTCATCCCATTCAAATCTTGAAGTACATCCTAGTGTTCTGGCTAAATCCTGATACATCTGGGACTGCCTAGCTGTATAGCATGCAAAACTGGTATTGCCCACTGCCAATGCCTCCATATGCTGGCCACTCCAGAATTTCTCCTTGTGTAAGAAGAATTTCTGTGTCCACCTGGTCTCCAGTGTGAATAACTCTAGCTCTTCTTCCCAGTGATCCCATAGTGCTTTTGTATGCAGCCAGTGGACTCAATAAGCTGTGAGAATTCAGTCAGTTCAGTATTTCACACAAGCCCAATTGATCTGCCTACATTCTGACATCCTGTCATTTGTGGCAGAATCTTGGGGAAGGAAGGTCCACAGTCCAAAACCAGACCAGAGTGTTGTCACAATGACCTCTTGCATTTGGGTCTGCAATTGTGGCACTCTCAGTCAGGTCTGCCCTATTCAATTCTTGGTATTTGCCAAGAATGTCCTCCCCAGCCCCCAGTGCAATAAGTTGCTTTCAGCACTGGCAATAGATGGCAGCATGCCACTGAACCATTGCCTCTGCATTGGATATCTGGCCCCATGCCCAGGTTGTCATTTTGTAGTTCCCTCCTTTCTGGACATTTGTACAAAATATCATGGCCTTGTCCACAAGGGCAAGATGCAATTCATGCAATTCATCATTTGCCTGGCCCTGTCTCAGATGTATTTCCTGTTCCACAAGACTGCTGAGGCCAATGTCATGGAAATACTGTACTCTGATATATGATGGCAGTGGAACATCACAGACCTCCTGGTGATCAGGACAACCAGGGAGGAACAGATCATCAGTTTTGTCATTACTGTCCCTGTCAAATGGGGCTATACTTCTGGGCCTTTGCCAGGGGTTAGTCATTTCTGATGACCTGGGCTGCTCCATGTACTAGTGCATCAATCTGTGATTGCAACTGGTCTGCCTCTGTTGCCCTGGCATCCATCTGTCATGTATCCATAGCAGGTGCTATTTGAGCCTGCACAACCTTTAATGCCCATGCAATCCAGGTAGCTGAACCACATGAGCTGCTGAATGAACAGTCATTATGGATTAGGTCAATCTCAATGGCTTTCATGGTGGGTGCTACCATGATGTATGTAAGTCACAGGACAGATGATACAGTTGGCCCCCTTACCCTTCTCCAGCCAGACTTCATATATGTCCATGGCTTGTGGAGTATTCCACTGGCATGACTTCCCCACAAGTTCTTGTTCCACCCATAAATGATGCAAGCCATCTGGTACCTTGCTATCCAACTTGCCAAATTTATCTTGGATTGCTGCTAATGACTGCTTGGCAACCTTGAACTTCTGTTTCAATGCCAATGCTATGGCAAGTACAGTGAGGGACAAAAGTGTTGCAATGTTTGTGAGGTGTGACTTGCTGCTGATGTAGCTTGGGCTATTCTGCACAGACAATCATGATACCTATACCATTGGGAAGGGGTGACTCTAGGCTCTCCAGTGCACTATGGTTCAGTCCAAACAAAGCCACACATGCTGAGATACACCCTATTCTTTCCAAAAAGTGCATTGCAATGCTTTTGTCCCTGACTGGTAAAATAGTGAAAAGTGATCTTTTGATGGGATTGAGGGCATGAAGGATGGGAAAATATGATTACATAATAAACCACATGATCCTCTGGATGATTTGTCAGCATGTAAACAATGACAAACATTGGACTTGTACCATTAACCCTCCCTCTTTTACCACAACTCATGAAATCATCTCTCTAGCTCACATGGTCATTTTCTCAAGGAATTATTATCAAATACTGGTGGATTCCAGCTTATTCCTTTGTGCATTTGCTTGATTAACAGCCCAGTGGTTATTGCAGTCAGATTTCTGCATGATGCAATCAGTCCAGTGTCTTTGGAGAGATCATGGAGCACCCACTTCTATTTGATTTATGGTCCCAGTCAAGTATTCCTTGTATGGAGCTGATGTGTCCATGAAGCCATTTCCATCCATGAGCCAGACCTCTTCAGCAGCATTCTTGGGCAGCATATGCTTCACCTTGAAGTTGCTGTCCATCACAAAGGTCCTAGCAAACTGCCAGCTATGCAAGTCAAGCTAACAATGTGTATTTGCAATAATAAATAGAATACTGACTCAGAGAGATCAATGTCCTGATCCAGTACCTTGATCCCTGGCTGGGGACAGGCAGAGCAGAAGAGGACAAGTTCACCAGCCCAGAGATCAGGTGACTGTTGATGGAATCCCTGCCATTTCAACAGCTTTAGGACCCTCACATTCTTGACACCCTGAGCAATTCCCTATACCTATTCTTCAACTGACAGGAACAATGTGGCATATGGTAAGACAGGGGTGATTGCACTCACCAGCACTAGGTGAGGAAACATGCTCAAGGTGACTCTCTGAATTGCTATAATAGTTCATGGCAGAGGCTCCACATTCAACATTGTCCCTGATGAAGTCCTCCAGCACTTGGAAAGTGAAAGTTGTCCTCAGTGCCTTTGTTGTAGTGGGGAATAGGCTGGCCATGGTAAGCTGAAGATGTGAATCCTCAGACCCAGGGCAGTTGCAATACTGCACATTGCAAAAGTGCATGCCACCAGTGTCCACAACTGTCAGATAGCTTCTATCATTTGGTGGGTTGAGATGTGCTGGTTGTTGACTCTCCTCAATGTCCTCCCACTCTTCATCTACATGGCTGGCAGCATCCTGCCAGGCATGGTGCTCTGCCATGGCCCAAGTGTAGCACCAAACCAACCTATGATATCAGTCATCACAGATGATGGGTTGAAACCAGAACTCACAAGCCATAGAATGAAGTCTTCAAAGAATCTTCCATTCCATTTGTGTACCTGATGGAATGGTCTGAGTTTGTGCTGCTTGATGCAACATGTTTCACAAGACAATGGGCAATGCACACAGTCCATGCATCTGTATGGTGCCCCTTCTGCTTTACACACAAAACAAGCCATGACATCAGGCAGGGCCTCCATGTCCAGGAGCACAGACAGGTATCTACTCTTATAGGGCAGCCATTCTTCCAGATAACTGTTCTGCAATACCATAAGGCACACATCACCAGCACCAGGATGTTTGATAATGCACACCTGGCTTTTTGGAATTCTCAATGTCCTTAGTGGTGATGCATCATCCATGTAGTAATATATGTTGGCATCATTACCCTGGACTAAATTGGGTTCCTGGATGCTCAAAGATCCTGCCATAGTAGGTGATTCATTTCTTTGGCCATTTGCATATCTTGCCTTCTTTCTCAGAGTAAACTTGACCATCCCTTCTTTGGATCCCCTGGTTGTTTTCACCTTTTTCAGGTGACATGGGTTACCAGGGTGGCCACTGTGGCTCAGGCCATTTGTGACATGCCCATGTCTAGTATCAAGTCCTTGCAGGATGTCTGCAGGCCCTATTGTGATGCCTGGCCTGACTTTTGGGTCAGATCTTGGAATCAATGTCAGAAGATCCAATTGGGATCAAACTATACTTTATCTATATATAGTAGCAGATTAGATGATAGATGAATCAGCTTACCATGTTTGGCCATGCTACTGATCAACTGGAACAAGACCATACCAACAATTGGTATGTATCATGACTGGAACCTTACTCACCCCCTGGAACTTTATTCAAGAATTGGTGACAGTAACTATGAGCAATGGACTCCAAATTTTCTTTCAACAGTAGGTAACATTACCTGCAACTAACCAACTCCAACATCTTCTCCAACATTCAGAATGGCCAGCAGCAATCACAGTACTAATTGTGTTAATACCTCAGATGAGGAGGACTTTTCCTCCAATGAGGAATCTAGCTCAGATAGCATGGAGACTGCAAAATCTGTGCCAGGAAAGCTGAGACTGGATGAACTTCAAATCCTCCAAGACAGTCTGAAGGATTGGAAGGAAGCTGACACAAACAAAAGGGCCTCACTGATGGAGGGAATGCAAAACAAAATCAAGTGGCTGGATGCCAACAAGAGCCTCAAACAAAATGAATGGAATAGAAAATGGATGGTAAGCTTGACAGTTTTGATGTGCTTGCAGTCAATGTCAAGTATATTTTACAGGCCATCAAGAATTGGATGTATAATAACAATCAGTCCTGGGCATGGAAGGCCCTGGTTAAGTATGGCTCCAAATGGACCACCCTGAAGGTGATCAAGCTGCAGCATAAGAAGGATATCCAGCAAGTACTTGTGAAGGCCAGAATACAGCCCAGGACATCAGCTATGATCAAACACTATCAGCCAGCTATTCAGAAGGTAGTCCAGTCATCAACCAAACCTGAATTGGACCAGGCAGCCCATTTGGCAAAAGAGTGGAATGAAAGAAAGCTGCCACCCAAAGCCCAGGCAGAGTAAGCATCCAAGTTCTCACATGGGTAATACTAACTTAAATGCAGAGTGGCAACAAGTAAGGGCTGAAAGCATGCAAAACAGTTTGGACACAACATGTGGAAGCAGTGTGGGATGAGAGTGGTGATCATAAGGATGGTGAAGTGATGGTTAGAGTGTGAGTACTTTCCTGACAGGCTTCACTGTATCTGACCAGTGTAGGAATGACTTCAATGACAAGCTGAGTGATGGAGAGCTCTATTTGGATTGGGAAGACCTTCATGGAAAGTAGTCAGCCTACACAAAGAAGGCCTTCAGGGCCAATGGTACAGAGGATGGCAGTGGAGAGGATGAGGCCAGTCAAACCATGGTAAAAGCATGGAAAGGAAAAAAGTGGTCTCAATTCTCCCTGTCCACCAATGACAATGGCACACCCATTCTTCCAAATCTCTTGGACTTATGGACACCAGAATTAAAGGACATCATGAGGGTGTTCATAACTGGCCATTATTGTACATGCCAATTTCCATGGCTGATGAGTTACTAACATCTAAACACAGGCTTGGCTTGCTGGAAGATGAATGCCAGCATACCTTGGGCTGCAATAACTGACAACCAGGCATCATATTTGTCTTCTAAGTATCTTCCTCCCAAAATCCCATTCAAAGAGCCCACCAGGCTGACACAGCATGAATAAATTGAAACCTTGGAGTTCTGGAAGGAGCAACAGCAGGAGCACCCAGAAGATGTCTTCTGGTTCTGAAGGTGGAGATCTCAGTATGGTTCCCTGGAGGAGCTGGTCACCAAACAACAATTCTGGTCAGAAAAAGCCAAAGGGAAGAGACCCTGGACAGAAGGTGAGGCCATGATCAATTTGGATATACATAACTGATTGCACATTAAGTAAATTCTGCTGATGGCTCTGACTATGGACATCACTCAGAGGAGGAACCAGCTCCTCCCACAAAACCTTGCACCAAATGGCAATGGATAGATGGTATGTCAGAGCCAGTCAGATTCATTACTGGTAACCATGACATGACCTTGAAATTGTGCACCAAAGATCATCCCACCAGAACATCCAATGCACAGGAGGACAACAGATGAAGGAACCAGTCCACATCAGACTGGTGCAATACAGCTACTGCATACCCCAAGCCAGCTGGTAAGTGGTATCCAGCAACAATGAATATTGCTGATAGATATGTATCAGACAATCATGCCAATGATGGTGGCAATTTAACTGCAAGGAAGCCCAAGCCCAACCCAAAAATCAGATCCAATGGTTGGTTCCCATGCACACTTGGTTAATGCTCTCATTACAGCATTCTACAGCAGCCCAGAATGATAACATGGTCATATCCAAGTCCCACCATGGAAATGGTGGCAGTAGGGAAGGGCTGACACCTAATGATTGGAGGTATACATCCATCACACAATTACACATGCTTATCCATGTCAGCAGTTGATCTGGTGGGTAGGAATTCAAACACCAGGCCTAGAGGCCATGTGATGGACAGGGAAGATAGACTGTTGGATCAAGCAGAAGAGAATGGTGTGGCTTGTCACCCAGAGCAGAATTGGAGGCCCCCACAGTGGCCAGATGATAATTATCCTACCCCAACTGTGAGGAGGTGAAGGTAGAATTGTGGCCAGTACCTAATGTTGTCACATAGACTTGCAACAAACATATATAATGGTATTGTACACAGTGCAAGAATTACTGGTGAATTACCAGCCCCATAGCTACCATGTACCATCACCCACTGTTGCAATCCAATCCTGGCCAATTTGTGATGACAGTGACCATATTGTATTGCCACAATTACTGGACTCCCCAGAACATCACCACTTTTCCATTCAACATAATGTTCATTGAAATGAGTTAGATGAACAAATTATAGCTGGTCTGGTTTAAGACAGTAGCCTCTACCTGCCAGCTCTTCCTGCAGAAGATCTGCTAACTGATGCTGGAATCTGGTGAGCATGGCATGCTGCTCAACATGTGATTGCCACTCCCTGGTTGCATCCACCAGGGTATTGGCATAATACCAATATGCAGTGTAGGAATAGGTAAGATGAAGTACCTAGAACTAGTAATATGTCACTGGGTGAGTGTGTGCTTGACCCAAAAGGGAGATTCTGTTTTGAGAAAAGAAGAAGTGTAGCAAAAGGTGTAAAAAATGCGAAAAGAACAGGAAAACTTAGCCCTGGTTGCTGCCTGTTATACCAAACCTCTTGCCAATCCTCCTGGCCCTTTGGGTACTTCCCAAAGTAATAAATTCTGACCTCAAAAACTTGCCAGAATGTGAGAATAGAATACCCTGCTGCTGAGGGACTCAAACATGAATTACTTGTATGGTAAGCTGAACTCACATGAACACAGCATGTGTGCTTAGTCAGCAACATAGCTACTTGCCACTAAGTCCAGTGGTACACAACATGAAAACAAAAGAAAGAAACAAAACAAAACACCCCCAACCCCTATCTCCTGACCAAGATGATTTCTTGTAGGGAATTCAATCCCATTCCCTACAGCAGTGATCAGATTGGCATTGTGTGCAGCATTGATGTCTGGTTGGTGTGCCCCACTCCTAGCCACAATACTGGAGATCCACCTTGACATTTGAACTGGTAGACATGTTTAGCTATAGTTGTGTAGGAATTTCTGTACTTCTGTTCAGTTTGTGGAGTATCAACTCCCAGCTGTATGGCAAACTCCTGGGAGACTGCAAAAAGCTCCAAATGTGAAAATGGGATTGGCACTGGTGATGGGGATCTGGCTGGCAGTATTGGCATGGAGCTGAGTGATGCAGGAGTGTCTGAATGGTCCATAGGTTGCTGAGGACCAGAGAAATCACCACCAGGCGATGCAAATGTTGTTGGGCTGGGAACCAGGGTAGGATTGTGACAAGCTGGTGACACTGAGGGAGTTAAGGACTGAAATGGGGGCCCATGCAATAAGATGAACAGTAATGATGATTGGCCAGCTGCCTGAGTTGGGTAGATGTAAGTTGATGATCTTGTGGCAGCAGGTGACTGAAATGCCAGTTCTTGTAAAGGACTGACTGGTGGGGACTGAAATGGTGGGGGGGACCCCCAAGCCAGCTCATGCAATGGAGTAGCTGGGGCAACAGGCAGTGGTGATTTGTCCCATGCCAGCTCAAGTAACAGGGTGCTGTCAGAGAGGCATGTTGATATGGAGTCCCAAGGAGGCTCAACCAATGGGCTACCAGAGGAGGGAGACAGTGCCAATGACTCCAATGCTGGCTCTATCAAAGGTGGTCTGGGTGAACCAGAGGACTGGAAGGAGGGTTCCATTCTGGTTGTGCATATTGTTTGAGCCAGGGACAGCTCAAAAGGTGGCTCGCATAATGGGGATGATGGCACATCTGGCAGGTCATCTTCAGTAAACATTTCCTCATCCTCATTGAGAGATGTGAGCTGCTGCATATCATGGCATGATGGAATTACTGCACAGTCATTAGAAGTAATGATCCTTGGACTGGTTGACTTATGGAGTTTATCTGGACTGCTGGAACTGAATCTAGCATTTCTGGGAGCCATATGAAAGTTCAAAATGTTGTACATGCCATGGGGATTACACTGATGTTTGAGAATGATTTCAGTACCAGTGATAAGATTGTATTACACAATATTTTTTCACCAGTCATCATGCAGGATGTGCAAGTGCATACATAATGGAAATGGGCACTTAGTGGAATGACTGTCAACTGCCATACATTACTCCCACCAAAATATGTTCAATGGTTAAACCAGTACATTGAATATTGTAAATCACAGCATCACCAGAGTGAGCATTTGTATTGTGCTTATGTAAGCCTGTTGAATGGTGTATGCTAGCTAGTGAATTCACCACACCACTCAAGCACCCACCACCTGCACACCTAAGCTTTAACAGCACTATGTCTACCACCAACACCAGCACCTTTGTCCCAGCACAATTGACTGACAACATCCAGCCAGTCATCACCACTGAAAATGCCAAGCAGATGGTCAAGGAGGCTGCCAGGGTTACAGTGCAGGCACTGAGAGGACTTCAGGGCTGGGATGCTAAGCACTGGGGCAAAGTGGCTCAGCTTGTGTGGGCCCAGCTGGTAAGTGAAATTGCAGCCATGATATCCATTCCTGACATCTATGTAGGGAATGGTCCACATGGTTGTTGAACATCTACCCCCAGCATTTGAGATCCCTCCACATCTTATTGCTATTGATATGCACATGGTTGACCCAGCAACAATCTTTGCCACACAGATGTGGCCACCTTTCAACCAGATGATGACAGCATGAGAGGCTGATGTGAAGGATCATGCATGGTATCACCTTCACCAGCAGCCCAAGTCTCACCCATATTGCAAGGTCATGGAGGAACTTACCTGGCCTTTGCTGAGGGCTGAGCACCAGGCAGTCCATGGATGAGGGGAAGGGGAAAGAATTGGGTATGGATGAGGATCAAGGGATTTGGCTTCCAGGTGAGCACTAATTCTGAGGATGGCACTCGGGTGGACCACTGATATGGGATCCAAAGATGGACCCACAGACCCTATAGCTAGGACCACTGGAGTGGCAATGCAGAAACTGGGAAATGAGGAGGATCAGAGCAGGGAGACAGTATGGGGCCATAGCCAGTCAAGATGTGGCCAAGCCTGTTTATGCCAGTGGTCAGACCAGTAGAGGCCAGAGCCAGTCAAGGAGACCAACAAAGAAGGTGAAATCAGCAGTCAACAAGGATGTGCAGGACTGGTGAGACATCAACAACCCTCCTGAGTTCTGGGAGGTAGTGCCAGAAGCTGACTGGTGTGTGAGATGCTGGGAAAGGAGTTGGCCCTGTATGGTGCTAGCTGGCAGGGCATGCTGGCAATGCCACTGTACCAAATACTCATGCAGCTTGCTCAAGGGGAGGGGAGACAAGTCTGAGATGCAGCAAAAAGCCTCCCATCCAAGGCCTCACCAGCAATGATCCCCAGAAGACACTGCTGGCCTTCCCACCACTTCAATGCTTGCTGTGCCAGCTCCATTGACTAGTCAACAAGCCAAACATCAAAGGGCACCAAGCTGAAATCAATCCACCAGTCCATCCAAAGTAACAAGCAATCATTTGTCTCCTGGCCCATGGACTGGCTACCCCAGTAAGTTATTCACAGTCCTATATTTTTGGCTAAACAGTTGAACTAATATTTCTATTGAGTAGTGGAAATCATTACTCTGTCATGGCTATCCCAGTCATGGTCTTGTGCAGGCAGTGTTGCAACAGAGCCACCCATCACTCCAGCACCAACTACTACAACTGGTGCTGATGAGCCATGCCATTGTGACAAGTGTCAGGAAGAGGTTACTGTCCTCAAGTGGGAGAATGCTGACATGAGGCAGGAGATAGAGATAACCCATACTGAGCTCACTGCTCTCCATTAGGTGGTAGATGCCATCCAGAATCACCTATTCCTGGCCCCAAACATGCTTAACCATCCTCTGGTCCCCTTTCACATCACTTCCAACCCTACACCAGTACCTCACATGCCAGTCATGGTGGAACTTGGCACTGCCACCAGAGTTGTAGAGGTTCAATCATCCCAAAGCAGCTCAAGACAGGAGTCCACTGAACCCCCCCTGGCTTCATTTGAGGGAGGTGCTGGCTTGGAAGTACCTCCTTCAAGTGTGGAACCTGTGCATGGACCTGCTGGAGGTCCAACAATCTCTATTACTCCACCACTGCCAACAGTAGGATTGGAGCCCAGACAGGAAGGTAGGATGGAGGTCAACTAACATTAATGTATGTCTCATTGCACAATCTATTGATGTTTTTTGTTTTGTTTTTGTACTTGTACTTTGTTAGCTCCAGCAATATATTCTGTATTGTCACAATGTAGTGCAATCTCCAGGAAGAAGTGGCTACTCCTGATGGTAGTTGTTACTGTATGATTCAGATACTGGAAAACCAATCTGGTATGGTGATGGCTGTACCAGTGGTGTGACAAGAACTAAGGGCCAATGGAGTCATGGTTCACCTAGATGTTTGAATGATGACTGGCTGGCATAACTCCATGGTTTTTGCTGTGTAGCTTGATGGTGTGACTTTCATGGTACTCTTCTGGCTTGCTGGTGGCCATAAGGCATTGAATTCACAGTTTAAATGTACTGGGTAGTTGGGTAGTCCTCTGGTCATTACCAGAGCCACCATTGCAGTAATACATGCATCTCCAGCATGGTACTGGTACTGGTATGCACATACACTGTGGTCCTGCTCCCAGGAGGTCAGGCATGGTATTGTTGCCAGGGTCCATGGTACAGCATTGGGCCCAGGATGGCTGGTATGACATTATTACCAGGATGGACCAAATAGTATAATTTCTGGGCTGGCTTCCATGGCATTGGCACTGGGATGGTGTTCATGGCATTGGTGCTGGGATGGCTTTCATGATGGCCCCATGGCATTGGGGATGTGCTGGAACACATTACATTGGTACTGGGACAGCTTGCATGATGGCCCCATGGCATTGGGGATGTGCTGGAACACATGGCATTGGTGTAGTGCCAGCTCACATTACATTGGTACTGGGACAGCTTGCATGATGGCCCCATGGCATTGGGGATGTGCTGAAACATGTGGCATTGGTGCCAGGATGCCTTCCATGGCATTGGTCCTGGGTTGGTGTTGGCCTGGCTGACATTGCATTGGTGCCAGGATGCCTTCCATGGCATTGGTATTGGGTCTGCCCACATGGAATTGATGTTGTGCCAGCCTGCATGGCATTGGTATTGGGCCTGTTCATATTGCATTGGTGTTGGCCCAGCTCACATGGTAATGTTGCCAGGATGGATGGCATGGCATTGGTGTTGTGCTGGCTCATATGGAATTGGTGTTGGGCTGGCTTGCATGACATTGTTGCCAGGGGTGAACTCAGGGGCTGAGCCCATCCATACCTTATAGGGACACCTAACTTTGGGCTTACCTGGGACTACTCATATTGCAGTGGCTACACCTACCCTGTGGAGCACCTGTATCCCATGGTGACCATAATTCCACAGCTAGCTTGTACCCCATGATGACAATTCTAACCTCAGCCCAGCCATTCTCCATGGTGACTCCTACTCTTGGGCTCAGCTTTATGCTATGGTGACATTCATTCATTGGGCTCTCCCATAGTCCATGATGACACTTACTCCCCAGCCTGCTTGTAACTGACAATGACAATTCAAACCACAGCTGCATCATTCCTCATGACAACATTTACTCTCAGGCTCAGCTGTACTACATGGTGACACTCATCAGTTGGGCTCTCCCATACTACAAGGTGACAATAAGTTCATGGCTCTCATGTAACACACATGCACAAGCCATACATGGGCTTGACCTCTGCTGGCCTGTCAGCAACAGCTGATTGTCAGCCTCCACTGACCATCTCATACAGCCTAACCAGGTGCATGGGCTTGATTGTTGGTATGCAGCAATGGTAGATGAGCTGAATATGTTTCAGAAGCTCAGGCTGTATGAGGAGGTTGGACACCCCTCAGATCAAAAGATCATCAGTTCAAAGTGGGTATACAAAGTAAAGCAAGGACTGACAGGCAACATCAAGAAGTACAAGGCACTAGGGAGTTCACTCAAATTCACAGAGTGGACTATACTGATACTTTTTCCCCCATTGCAAAGTTTACTACCATTCAAATCTTGCTTGCCCTCACAGCCAAGTATGACCACAAATTACATCAAATGGATGTCAAGTCAGCCTTCCTGAATGGAAAACTTGATGAAGAAGTCTTCCTTTGACCACCTCCCAGGTTCTGTACATCTGCAGATGTTATTTGGTGCCTTCACTGTGCCCTCTACTACAGACTCAAACAAGCTCTGAAGGCTTGGTATACCCACTTGAGGGAGGTATTTGAAGCTCTGGGCTTCACATGCAGTGATGCAGACCATAGTTTGTTTTACAAATTCAAAGATGGAATTCTGATTATAGTTGCTGTCTTTGTGGATGATAAGCTCATCCTGTCAAAGATCCATGATGCTATTAACCACTCAAGACTCAGCTCTCCTCAGAGTATGACCTATCAGTTTTGGGTGAGCACAATGGATCTTAGGAATGGAGATCATCCCAGACTGTGATAAAGGATAAATTGAGCTCTCACAGGAAAGATATATCAAATCTATACTCCAGCACTTTGGGTTGTAAGATATGTATCCTGTTGGTACACCTATTGAGCCTAGTCTCCAACTTGAAAAACTTGAACAGGCCAAGTTGGACATTGCACACCATCAGAGTGCTCTTGGAATCTTGATGTATGTATGATATGTTAGCTACTTGCCCTGACCTTGCCTATGCAGTGGGTGTCCTTAGCAGGCATGCAGTGACTCTGGGTGAGCACCACTGGGTGGCCCTCAAAAGAGTCTACTGCTGTCTCCAAGGGACCACTACCTTGCATCTTCACTATACTGCAGCTTCAGGACCACTCCAGTTGGGTATGCCAATGCAGACTGGGCATCTGATGTTAATGATCACCATTCTATCACTGGCTATGCATTCATCTTATGTGGTGGTGCAGTGAGCTGGTTGTTGAAGAAACAAACCTCTGTTGCTCTTTTGAGCACTGAGGCTGAGTACATGGCTGTTTGGGCAGCTGTGATGCTGCTTGGTGAAATTGACATGGCTGCATGAGTGAACCCCACCCCTCTCCATGTTGACAATCAGTCAGCAATCTTGTTGGCAAGAAATGCAATGTTTCATGATCATATGAAACACATTGCCATTTGTCATCACTTCATTCAAGAGAAGATTGAGTCAGGGGATGTCTCTGTGGTGTACTTGTCTACAAACAAGCAGCTGGCAGACATCTTGACCAAGGGGCTTTCTAAAGATAAGCACATTTGTTTTTCTATTGGCTTAGGGGTTACTTATTGAGATATTCACTGTTGAGTGGGTGTGTTGGTGCACATTAATTATATTTCTTACACTGGTAATATCTTACATAAGCACAGTCATTTCAGCACATTGGTTTTCCTTCATGTGCCTCAGTCTTCTCCCAATAGAAGCCTGAGTATCTTTCTCTTTGTTAGTCTGTCCCTACTCAGAAACTACCCCACAAAATGACCATCCAAGAGTGAGGTTGGCCAATTCCACCTTCAGGGGTGGGATCATCCAAGACTGAGGTCAGCCCATCTCATCTTCAGGGGATGGGACCATCCAAGACTGAGGTCAGCCCATCCCACCTTCAGGAGGTGGGACCCTCCACCAGTGAGGTTGGCCCATCCCACCTTCAGGGGGTGGGATCATGTTACAGCCACCCTCACTTCCATATGTTGGCCTACCCATCATCAGGGACAACTGGCCAACATCAGTTAGTCCCACCTTTAGGCCAAAATGTACACATTGGATGACACAGTTTCAGGACTATGGTTGACTGGACTATGAGAAGGGATGTGCTAGGAAACTTGCCCCCAAATTTATCAGCCCCTTCCACATACAAGAGGACTACTGCAACAACACCATCTTGTTGGATATTCCCATGGAACTCAAACAATGTGGAGTACACCCAAGAGGTGGGCATCCATCAAATGTCAAACACTCACCCAGGTTTGGTGGTACTGCTTATGAGTACCTGGGGTCCTACTTTTTTTTTTCTTTTTGAGAAATTTTGCATGTCCTGCAGCATTTTCATTCCAAACAAGTTTCTACAATGTAGCTCTGCATTTTAGCCTTTATGATAGCAGACAGACCCACCCAAATATATGTTGTCTCCATCATTCCAGACACTCAATTTGTGATATATCATTGCAATTTTGAGACTTATGAGCAATTTAACTTACCAGTACCCAAACCTGGATTTGGCAATCAGCCATCCTAATATGTGTCCAAGATCTAGATCAACATGTCTGTTTACTGTAAGACTTGGTAAGACACATTAAACATGTCTTTCTTGACACACTCATCCTCCCTCATTATCTATGTACCATACCACCCCATAGTTGTCTCATAGAGTGTCTTGTCACTGGACATCAACTTCTAATGGACATCAATACTGTATCTCATAATCCCTCAGCACCATTCAACTCTTGGATTGCATGTGAAAGGTCTTAGCCAATGGACATAATATTTAATCATAGAACTCTCCCCTTATCATCTACTCCCCCATCACCACTGCCTGGAGCTTCCCAAAGCAATGATGAACTTTCCACCCCACAATTAACATGAGGCATTGTACAGGAAGCTTCCCCATTTGGGATGCTCCTGCCTGACCCATGGCTCTCATGTCCTCTATCTAATAACTCCCAGCCCTCACTTGTCCTAGAGCAAGCAACCCCAAACTCCATTTCCCAAGATCAGATTCATGATCTCTTGGAGATGGGGACAAGCAATGCATTTTTCATTCTCTTTCAGCATGGACACTTACTTACTCAGGTTGTTGGTGGATATCACATCCTTGAATTCCCTCATTGTAGCCAATCCATTAAAACAAGCATTCCAAGGATGGTCATGCTGAAGGAAAGCAGCTATTTCAACACCCTGACTAGCCATTACCACTGCAAGCCATGTCTCATTGCTGCTGCTCACAAGGAAAAACAAGCAATGTCTACTGTTATGGATAAAATCAGTTCACCCATGACCACCCAGCACTTGGTAACCCCTTCTTTCACTATATGTAAGGACAAGCTCTTCAGATTCACTGTTTTCTAATAGGTATGTTCTTGATCTGTTTCGACTTCTTTTCCCTGGCTGAACAGTTTCCTACAGACAACTGTAATGCCAAATGTCATGGTTGGATGCTCCCCCACACAGCCCAGTTCTCCTGATCAGAAATTCACATCACTCCCTACCATCCTCATGTCTTGGTCTCTCCTTGTACTGGTTGAGTCCACTGGGAACTGACATCCAAGTGAATATTCCATGGTCCTGCACAGTCATGGGGGGTCCTCACAAGCTTCCATTCACTATTAACCCCATTGATGGTCAAGTCTTTGTGAGATCTCCCAAGTGGCATGCATTGCACAGTCTGACAATTTACCCTGCTCTCCCTGTGCAGGACTTGACATCAAGATCCATGACTTGGGCAAGACAATCACTTCATACAAGACCTGCACTCAGAGATCCCTCCTCACTATTGTTCAACTGCAGGCTCTCATTGATGAGCACAACAATGAACTCAATCAATGGAAATTCAAGGTAATTATTTACTTCTGTTACTGCTCTTTTCATTACTAACCAGCAAGACAGTCTCTCAATGATACCAGAAGAATCAGCCATACTCTTGATACCCTCAATATGCATTCAACACTCATTATGGCACTTTCGCAGTCAGATGCCCCTTGGCTTCATCACATACTTCACACTCTCCACATGAATGGTGCCAGCATTTGCACAATTCTTTGCCAGATCAAAGACACTATCACAAATGGGTACAGGCCTCATAGCTACAATCAAGACAAACTTGACATTGCACTACTTTGTTTACCATGTTGGAGGGGGGAATCTCCTATCTGTGCTCACCCAGCATCTCTGCATACCCACTGTGCACACTGTTTGCTGCTAATCAAGCACAGTCAAGATAACCCCAACCATTGGCCCCATCACCTGTGTGACTATCACCAACAATATTTGATTGGTTGTGATTGAGATGCATGCTGCTGCCAGTCTTACTACTCCCTGTGAGGTGAGCCTTCTCACAGATGACATTGCACTCAAAGAGGCTGCCATGTACCATCTGGCTGAAAATGGGGTTGGAGGTTACTGCTGGAAGCATGCCAGAAATGTATACCCCTTCCTTGACACCTACAAGTCTGCAGAACAGCTTGCCATAAAGCTCTCTACAGGTGATGTCCATCTCAGCAAGGAAATGTCAGTCATTGTCACCCACTGCTTTGGTGAAGACCAAACATACCCACTTCTTGCCACACCATTGTGTAAAGAGGAGGACCATGTTGACTGGGAGGACCTCATGAATAAGCTTATCAATACTTGGTATGACACTGATGCTAAGCCTGCTGTGGTCATTTGCAACTGACAGTGACACAACACATCACAAAGCTGGTCATGAGGTTTTCATGGCTATTAAGTTAACTCTCACATCTCCACTCTATGGCATTCTATCAGGACTCCCTGGACCCAACCTATATACTGGCCCATATGAGATGACAATGGATTTTGACTACAAGCATCTTCTTAAACATAAGTTTTCCTTGTGGCTCAGAATGTATGAGACTAATGCTTTTTCTAAGGGGTCTGTACAGCACTTGGCTTGTCACATGGAATTCTGCTTGATAATGGGTGACTTCTTACTTCCAAGATGTTCCTTCACTACTTGACCTGGCTTGATGACATGGATGAAAATCTGGCAAACAGGTTGCTATTCCATGATGACCCCCAGGATGTTCCTCATGCCATTGAATTCATTCAGGCAATTGTTTGCCTCACAGAGATAGATCCAACCTGGCCCCTGTATACTAGACATGGTGGGATCCCAGATGACAATGCTGTCATCAACTTCAAGGCCATCAAGATGCTTGTGCATATTCTACATCATTTGCTCAAACTGTTCATCAATACTACACTCTCACTTTCTCAGCAGGTCAGCTACATCAGCACATGCTGCCACCTCCTCTTTTGTCAGTATCAGCTCAACCATGCTTCATTCTTACTGAACCAACTTTACTACAACATAATGATGGCTGTGAAGAACATCATTTTCTGCATCATGAAGCAACTCTGGCTTGACTCCTCATCCAAGTTCTCCCTCCTCAACGTTGGGACAGATCAAATTGAAATCTTGTTTGCATTGATCTGTATGTGTGGTGGACACAACAGTGCTGTGAAGTACAAGCAAGGTATGGACCACCTTCACTCAGCCTGTGATATCAGTGGTGTCTACTTGCACAATCCTGATCTCCACCATGGGCATCATCAGCTCAACTTAATGCACTCAGAACACATTGACCATATCAACCATGATATGTGGCAGGGTGACACTGTTGTCCACAACTGCAACTTGCAGGGTGTGTGGTTCAAGGGATGTGCTGCAGCAGTCACCATTCTCTCCTCCTCTCCCTTGTTCCCAGAAGAATATGAGTTCAATGCAATATTTTCAGTTGAAGGAGTCAACTTGATGTGCATGTTTGGTGGAGGAAGTATCCTAGTATCAACCAAGGGGATGAGGGCAAAGACAGAAGCACCTTGTTACATGCAGACTCAGGAGGCAAGGATGCTCCACCTCAGGTGCCAATTGTTGATACTCTCAATGAAGAACCTTGAACCATTGGGACCAATGAAGAAGATGAAGAGCCTTCACTCTCTTTTGAGGATCAGCTTGAGCATGAGGTGGAGAATGGACTTGTCAGTGAAGACTTCAAAGGTCCATTGTCATCTGCAGAAGCTATGATAGATGTTGCTGACAATCCATTGCATCCACCTTCCCCCTCTGGACTATCTCTCATATAAGGGAAAGTGTGTCCATAAAGCATCCATGTGTTGGCTCCTACTCAACAAGGACTTCTCTGCCAAATTGCATGACCAACTCATTCATGTCCATGGTTTCACTCTGGTCAACAAACTTGCCAAGAGTCTTCAGCCTTCAATCTTTTCTGACATGGATCCATCCTTTGTTGTCAGCAATCCTTTCATTACTCACATTTGTCTTAATGATCAAACAACATCCTCAGCACTGGTTCACTCAACAAACATCTACAAAAATGGCATTGTGTGTAATGACATCCATATCAAGACTCTTCATGTGAACAGGTCAAAGATCAAGGTCTCTGGTAATGTCCTCATACTCATCCCTTCTGAGTTGAACTTGATGTGGATTTGGATGGTAGTGTATCTCAAAGCTTTGTCACCTGTTCCTGGGCTTGCTGTCACCACTCAGAAGGTCATAGAAATCTCCACAACCAAGTCACTTGTTGAACTTGTCAATCCCAATGTCATTATGGCATCTGCCCACCTCCCTTCTGACAAGGCCAAGGAGAACAACTCTCAGGACCTTATATGATCACTCAAGAATGAGCCCCTCAAGGTGGCAGTGGATCTTATTTGGAAATGGATGTTGGAGATGAAGATCCCCATATCAACCATTGCACTACATCAAGTGGATTCCACAAATGGGCTATTCCCTTACTGCTTAATGGATGGTGAGTGATGTGTTTTGTTACTTTGTTAGTAATCTTATACATTTTCAGGTTCTACTCCTCTCATTTGTGAGGTGGAAACTCTGCAACTATCATCTACCAAGGCCATCACAGTGATTTGCCCATGATGGACAACTTGTCCCCTTTCTGCTTTTATGACTTGTTTATGTTGCTCTGATGTTGTACTATAGCTCCAGTGTCTGGCTCCTCACTGTGCATTGATTGTGCCAGCCAGTATAGCCTTCATTGCCTGCCTACCCCATCTCTGACACTGTATGACTCTTATTTATTTGACTGATTGTTCTGTTGACTACTGTGGATATGCATTGTGACATGTCTGTCATGACTGGTATGGTACCCTTGTTTAGGGGTATATAAACCCATGTACTTTACCTTGTATCCTCAGTTTTTCAATAGCTTGCAACTCAGCTAACTTCCTTCTCACCCATCCTCTGTTCTCTCTCCATGCAAACAACCTTAGGGACTCACCAGCAGACTGAACCTCTGTCAGACATCTGAGATAACTGAGCCATAGGGGTTATGACAAGTTTGGCCCATAGACTCCCCCTCACACACTTCATGCCTATTCCATTTGAAGAAGTCACTGCGCTCGGGCATAACAGTTTGCATTGCCATCCTCTTGAGTACACCCAGCATTTCATGCGAGCTTACTGTGTATCCACATGCCAAATGATGACTGACAATTTCCAGGCTGCCAGTTCCCACACATAGTTAGTCTGGGAAAAGTTGAAGGGCACATGGCAAAGCACATAAATGACCACCATGGTCAAGGCCCAGACATGTTGTTCAAAGTAGTATAGTGGGGATTCCATCTGGCTACCCTACCCAGAAGTGGAATGACTCAAAGCCCTAACACACTACCTCAAGGCACAGGGCACCTCATCCATCAATGAACTCCCAAGGCAGGTGAACCATCTCAACAAAGAATTCACCTTATCTGGCACTTGGTATGATGAGACCATTCATGCATGTGCATGCTTGACCTGACTGATGATGTAGTAACTGGTGTTGCTTTGACAACATCAAACTAAGTAATGCCCACTCACCAGAGCATCTCCTCAGGTTTTAACCCTCACAAGAAAATATATAAAGGGCAGCGAGGGCTCTCAACCACCCAGTGCTACATCCCCACCAGAATGCCATGCCCTGTATTCTGACCACTCCAGCTTGAACAATTTTGGGTCATGGCTGAGACCATCCATGCCAGAACCTTTGATCTCACCAGGGACTGCCTCCCTGCCAGATATGTCACCTTTTGCAAGACTAATACTGAACATCTGGACCTGGCTTTTCATTACACACTACCAGATGGGTTTGTTTGCAAGCCCCTTCATCCTTGGGGACATGGAGCAAACAGTCACCAAGACTGCTGCAAGAGAGGGAACTTCCTCTCTGGGATGATCTTCAATTGGTTCAAAGCTGACACCAGAGCTTGTAAGAAAACACCCGAAATGGTATCTAGATCACAAGCTAAACACAGAATAGAAACCAGTGCCACTACAACTGTACATGCTAACAGTGGGCCCTGAAGGGGACACCCATGGAATGTCCACTCTACCCCTCACAAGGGCAACAATACCCACAACATGACAATGCAATTCACTCCCTACCAATGACCTGCCATCTCCCAAGGCTTGACACAACTTCACCCCACTGTTGGCATTCAGCATACCTTCCCAGGGACAGCAGCCTGCAGGGACAGACACAGCAAGAGTGCCATCAACCCCACTTCCACAGTTTGTAAGGAGCCTGGAACTCTGGATGAACTGCTTGACAAAATCATCAACACTGAAGCTGTTCCCACAGGTGGTGATGCTAGCACCATTCTGTGGGGTTGTTTCTGAGTAGTGACAGACTAATAAGAGAAGATACTCAGGCTTCTATTGGGAGAAGACTGAGGTACAACTAACCTAATAAGAGAAGATACTGAATAGCTTCAGTAAGGTAGCTGTAACTCATAATAAGGGAACCTCACCTCAGGCTTCTATTGGGAGAAGACTGAGGTGCACAAAGGGAAAACAATGTGCTGAAATGACTGTGCTTATGTAAGATATTACCAGTGTAAGACATATAATCAATGCACATCAATACACCAGCCTCAGTCCAGGTACAAAACTCATCATTATCCTACTGCTCTATCTCATCCTCATGAACTTGATCCTAGTCATCTCAAGCATGACCATTTGATCTCCCCAGAAGATCAGGAGGGCAGATGTAATGACCTGCACTCCTGCAGATACAACAATGGAGCCAAGTTCAATATGTCAGCCTTGACACTTCCTCTTTAGTACGGTCCTTTGTGTACATAGTATATGAAGACTCATGTAGTAGGTAGGAGGGAACAGTTTTACCAAGAGACCCTTGGCCAGTTCTGACAAACAATGCTTGAGACCTTGTGATGGAAACCCTCTTACCACTGTGACCAAGTCGTGCAACTGTCACAATTGTCTTCATGTGTGAAAGGTCCATTCTTTGCAAAGACAAGCATAAGATGCCAATGAGTGTTGAATGCATCAACATAGACATATCCAGCCAGGCCAGTGGTCAGCATGATTGCAAGGGCATTGAGAATGTGAATGGTGGTATTGGTGTCACAGTTCCATGTAGCCTTGTTACTGTACTTGCTGGCTCCTTCATAAGGCATATCAAGATCTGAGTGGATGAAGAGAAAGAGCTGCTCAAAGATGCTCAGAAAGATGGTGTTGGTCACTCATTAAAACATTCTGGTGGTTTTATTGAGGTGCCATGTCATGGATGGACATTTCGCAATCTGCTGGTCAGTGTCGCCACAACCCAGAAATGCACTGATAACCTGCAACAGTCAATAGCAGTAACCTCAATGAATAGCACACCTCAAAGTTGCTAGAGGTTTGGCTAATTCCTCAGGTGTTTGTCAGGTGTTTGTGGTGAGTTTTCAGCTGAGAATATCAGTATTCAAACTCCAACTGCTCTGGTCTAATGCATTGTCCATAGCTGTCATGGAGTCTGAGCTGTCTGCTCCTCCTCTGGCATCACAACCCACCAGATCAGCAACAAAAGCAGTGGTCCCTTGCATTATATGGGAGAACACTTATGCTGCATGGACTGATCATCTTATCGAGTGGTGTAGGACCCATGAAGCAGAGTGGAAGAAGTTGTTTTCTGACTCCACACAAGATGCTCAAGAGGAAGGTAGGATTAAGCAACAATTGTGACATGGGAAGAATGTGATATATGTTGAGATTGTGAAAGTGATCTTCTCAGTTGATGAGTCCCCCAGATTCCAAGTCCTCACTCAAGACAATCCAGCTGTTTTTGCCACTCTGATCCATAGTCAGCTTGACATGTACATGCATATCTTTTTAACAAAAATTCACTGCTCAACTGTTACAGTTTAAAAATGAAGTACCAAAAGCAGAATGCATTACTTGGGCAGACAGGTGCCAGGTGCACCTACAAGGATCTCACAAGCAGCAACAGCACAAAAAGTATAATTGGTACATAACTATTTCATTCCTAAAGACATTAGTTTACTGATTGTTATCAGTGATGATTGAGAGGGAGTTTCCTTGGTGGGGTGAATTGCATGGGTGGTGATGCACAAATCCTGCCTACAACAGCACCTGGAGTGCTGCTGATAGTGGGCAGGATTTTGCTAGGTGCACAGTTGAACTCTTCAAGCTGCAGCCAAACCCACCATCTGGAGATTCTGTCAATCCTGCTGCAGGCCTGCCAAATTCACCTCAGCTGGAGGAGGGTGAAATAGAAGGGGATGGCAACATTCATACTAATAACAACTTTTTTGCAGACAATTCTGAACTGATGCATGTTGACAGTGACCCCCCCTTGTCACACATCAAGATGCCATCATTTCCCATACCATCCCCCTCCCCACTCTTCTCTGAGTGAGAGCTGCTGCCACCTGTTGTTCCATCAGCCAACCCATCACATCTCCCCCATTTTTCTGAATGGTTGTCACTGTCATCCCTCCCTGCTAATTCTGAGTGGTTTTTGCTTGCTCCCCCTGCCATCCTTTAACTTTTCTGAGTTGTCTCCTGTCATATCTCCTCCCCCCTCTACTTTTAACAGGGTGAATTCTATTAGCTTGAACAATGACCCCCCTCCCTTTGTATCCCATCATCCAAAACTCCAGCCAGCATGTCCATCCCTCGAGCAGGATCAACCCCTCCTGAAATACTGGTGAGCCTCCACTCCAAATATGGACAAGTCTTCCAACTCCAACATTGCTTCATCCAACATGTTTTCAGCACTTTGTCTCTCATTGTCTTCCCCCCCCAGCATCACCACTTTCTCCAATGACAGCAATTCCAAGCTGTCATCAAAGCCATCCCCCATTCTACCATTTCCAGCCCTTGATGGCCCGAGGGTGGTAAAGTTGTCGCTCCGACCCCCTGCCCTCTTCCTCCGACTCGCTCGACCGATGTTCATCAGAGAGCCTTCTCTGATTTGGAAACAGTTCAGCAAGAGTGCGAGACAGGCGCCTCCCGACTCCTAGCAGGACGGCTGCATCGATATCACTCCTCCCACCACTCACCCGAACATGGTCGTACGAGAAACCTGGCAAAGCCCAAGCGGCGTAAGGCTTGCCATGGGACCCACTCGTCAACCATTTTGTTCTGAATGTCTTGTTGTATTTCCAGATCCACACAGTGCAGCATAAGCAACTCCGTTTACTACATCCGATAGGCTGCTGACGTGTATGATCCAAAGCATGGACCGGGTTGCTGAGATGAAGCAGGATGCGAATTTCCGCATGGAGCCGGGTAGTGACGGAACGACTGCTGTCCCACACCTGCCGCATGTTCTGAACCTTCTCATGCAACGCGGTCGCCGTTTCCGGCGCGAGGGGGACACCGCCGAGTGCCCGTGATATGACGCCCATGTAGTTTTCGTCCAGATCTAGCCTAGTCTCGCAAGTGCCCTCCATACGGCCGACCCAACGATGGTTAATGCCTTGCGAGAAACGGCGCTGGGCATGCTCGATGAGGGTGCTGATGTCGTTGTAATACTGGGCAACCTTAGCAAGGCGGCGTTTCAACTTTTCTGCCTCCAGTTTCCGTTTGTGATACAAAACGTCGTGTTCTTGGCAGAGCCAACGTAGCAGACGGGATCTTTTGAGAACGAGGACGGCGATCACAAGATGTGCGTAGCGGTTGCAGAGGTCTGGCGTTTCTCTGATATTCTGCAAGTTGAAACCTTTAATCATGTCGGTGATAACCGTCAAAAGATCGCGCATCATTGTCTCAGCCGAGACTTGGTTTCCATTATACTTCAAGTCGCGATAGTCCGTAGAAGAGGGAAATTCATCCTCAATGGATGATGCGGGTTGGTAGACCCCTAGGACTCGGTTGAGGTTGTCAGAGGATGTGTCCACAGCTTCACGCATCTTCACGATCCGCTTCGTGATGTTCTCCCCGCAGCGAGTAAACAGGAAAGGCAAAACATCAAGAGCAATGTTCGTGGGAGTGGTGATCAACCTGATCAGCTCAAGAGCAGCCTGACGGTCTTCGTCGGTGGGAACAGCGTTCTTTGCTAAGACAAGCGTGATACTCCCACAGGTGTCGAATGCAGCAGCAAAGACATCTCCGGGCCTTCCGGTGGTCAGTGCGACCGCGATAGTGTCGAGAACGCGAATGGTAGTACTGGTGTCACTGTCCCGCGTATGCTTGCTACTAAACTGACCAGAATCTTCATAATCCGCATCGAGATCCGAGTAGCCGAAGTGATGGAGCAGCTGAAGCTGCTCGGAAAGACGGACTTGGTCGCTCATCAACACATTCGGGGGGATTCGAGATGCCATGTCGTGGATGGAATGTTTCGCAATCTGCTGTTACAGGCGGACTGGTCAGTGTCGCCACAATCTGAAAGCACCCCAATAACCTACGATAGACGATAACAGTAACTGGAAGGGGTTCTGAGGGTTCTTGGACACCCGGCGATACACGTAGATAAATATGATGTAGATCCTGAGTTGAAATATTTCAACTCCGAGCGCGGGCGTGTTCTCCAGTGAATTTTCTAGTTTAGGATTCCCTCGGTATTGTAATTATCACAAGAATAACAACGCTCTCATTGCCAAGATAACAATAAGAATAAGAACCGCCGGCATCTATGCCGCTAGAACCCAAGAATAGCAATCAGGACCACCAGCCGCAGTGGCCTTAGACTATGCCGCTGGAACACGAGAATAACAATAAGGACCGCCAGCCGCAGTGGCCTCCGCTGCCGGAACACAGGAATAACAATAGGGTGGCTTAAAGTTGGCGCCTACGCTGCCATCGCCGCCTACGCCTACAGCAAGACTACCCACAAATTAGCTGTAGGCGTAGGCACCAACTTTGAGTGACCCTAACAAGGACTGCCAACCGCAGTGGCCTCTGCCGCCGGAACACATGAATAACAACAAGAATCACACCAGCGGTTTGGAGAATTCTGATGGCCCAAAATGGAAATGCGACGAACATCATGGGTGAAGTACAACGCAGGTGGCACTGGTCTATTCATCTCAGCTTAGTATAGGTCAAATTCAGCCCTAGCAATAGGTGCTCGTAATCTTTGTTCCTATATTTGTGCTGAAAGCGATCCGCGTCCGGGTTTTTGGTAAAGGAGGCACGGGAAAGTACAGGACAAAACGAAACTACCAAGCAACTGATGGGATCGGAACATCTGTGGAGGGCATGAGGCAGAACATGGGAGGTGGGGAGGGTGTCATAGAACTACTAGTTCTAGGATGGGCGTGTGTGATGGAACACCGAGGGTGATAGTCACATGGTAAGTTAGTTTTGGTCGGAAGGGTCTCAAGCTTTCTCAGCAGGATCTAGCCAAGTTGTCTCTTAATAAAACTGGGGAATCATCAGGAAATTAATTGATGTCTATTGTGCCTGTCATGTACACAGATAGTCAAAAAAGTCCAGATAGTTGCCAGGACTATTTCTAGTAGATTCTATTTCTATTTTGACTATCCAGTCTATTTTTGACTATTCATTGACTATCCACACTATTTTTTTTTGACTTTGACAAAAACTAAGTAGAAAATAGCTCAGCCACTGCCTGAGTATGGGCAAGATGACTGAGGGTTTTGTAAGTGAGAGAAGTGAAGTATATATATGTGTAAATGAGCTCATAAGAACAAGGGACAAGGGGTAAGAAAAGATACTAGCAGTGATACATAACCTGTCAAAAACAGAAGCATGGGAAAAAAGGCCAGTTCATCTAAGGTTCATCTAAGGTTCATCAGAGGTTCATCTGCTATCCACTTATGTAACCTTGTCACTTCTTGACACTCCCACTCAAGCAAAGTTGAAGTCCCATAGCCTTGGTCATGATGTCAGCTACCATGTCTCCAGTTGGGACAGCATCAGTGTAGCCATGGAAATCCATGTCCATGGAGATGTCTGAGCCATCATAGACTAGCTCTAAGTCCTTTGTGGCTTGCATGTAGCATAGGACCCTCTTTGCCATCTCCCATTGTGTCTCAGTGGGTGCTGCACTGAAATGGCTGAGTACTCCAACTAGGAATGCGAGGTCTGGCCACATTCCAAGCATGGCATACATCAGTGAGCCTATGACAGTTAGGTAGGACACATGCTGGCCTTCAATGGTTATCTCTGGGACTGGTGGTCCATCCTCTGGTATGGTCACAGTCAGTTTTAGGTTGTGTGGCAGTGGGGTGTACACTGGTTTGCAGTTTTTCATGCCAGTGTGTTCTAACACAGTCCAGATGTACTGTGACTGGGATAATGTGATGGTCCAGTTTTGCTGGTCACATTGGAGTTCAATCCCTAGGATGTACTTGGCCACTCCAAGGTCCTGCATCTTGAAAGATGATGCTAGAGTGGATTTTACCTCATCCATGAGCTTCTGGGAACTTGCAGCCAAGAGTAGGTCATCCACATAGACCACCAAGAAACAAACCTGTTTGCCCTTTTGGAGAACATACAGGCAGGTCTCAGCATCCAGCCAGGTGAAGCTGATTTCACCAAGTTTATGGTCAAGGGTGTCATTCCAAGTCCAGCCAGCCTGCTTAAGCCCATAGAGGGAGCCCTGAGCTGTGAACAGTAACTTGGTTGTATTGGGACTCCAGATGGTGGGGACATGTATAATTCTTCCTCCAACTCACCATTTAGGTAGGCAGTGGAAACATCCATTTGGTCCAACTCCAGGTTATGCTTTGCTGCCAGTGCAATGATGATCCTTACAGACTCTAGGTTTGCTACAGGGGCAAAAACCTCCTGGTAGTCTACACCCTCTCCTTGGGTGAAGCCATGGGCAACTATTCAGAGTTTGTACTGCTCTATCTTGCCTGCTTGATCATGCTTGATCTGGAAAACTGGCTTTGAGGTGATTGGGATAACTCCAGCTGGGACTGGGACTGTCTCATACACATGGTTGGAATTTAGGGAAAGTAGTTCTTCTTCAAGGGCTGATCTCCAGAGGTGGCTATCTGGTTGAGAGAAGGCTTCATTGAGAGTCTGGGGGAGGTCATCATTTGATGGACCAGTACCTGCAACTCCAGTGAAGAAAGTGCCATTATCTAGTAGTTCAGACAGGAAGGCACCTGGGATTTCAGGCTCAGTTGGGGCTGGTGCTTCTTCATGACTTCAGTGTGCTGCTTCATCATCTAAGGTCCACTGGTAATCTCAGTTTTTGTCTGCTGGCCTTTTCTCCCTTGCACTCTGACATGAGCCAGGCACCATCCTAGCTGGGTGACGTGGTGGTGATCTGGGTGGTTGGAGTATTTGCTGTGGTGAAGTCTGAGGTTCTGGTAACTGGACTTGCAGTTCCAGTGTATGAGGGCAGCTACCTGGACCAGGGTCTGGATTTATTTCCTCTGGGGCTGGTGGGTTGATATGTGGGGGTGGTGGATCTCCTCCCACTGCTCCCACTGGCTCTGGTAATTGTGGAGGCAGGTTGATGTCATCCTCTTCTTCTTCAGGAGAACTGGGGTCAGGTCAGTGGAGTTGTGGTGGGATAAGGCCCTCCCACTGTTTGCCAGTGGGGTCTGGTGTCCATGGCCTTAACTCCAGAAGGCTGAGGGAACCAGATTCATCAAACCTCACATGCTGGCTAGAGGACACAGTGCATTTCTGTAGGTCCAGGAGTTTGTAGGCTTGTTGTCCATGGGTGTAACCAATCATGATGGCCTTTTGGGCATGTGGGTAGAACTTTCCTGGCTGCTGGTCCCTTGGAATTAGTGCATATGCTGGGCACCCAAAACTCTGGAAGATGGTTGGGTCCACTCATCAGTTGAAGACCACTTCATATGGTGTTCATCCTTTGATGCCTTCAGCTGGACTTCAGGCAGTGACATAGGCTGCTGTGGCCATGGTGTCAGCCCAGAAAGACTTTGGCAGCTTTGACTCTTTGAGTATGGTGTTTGCCAGGGTTGACAAAGTCTGGTTCATGTGCTCTGCAAGTCCATTTTGCTCTGGGGTGTCTGGCACTGAGGTCTCATGCTGGACACCATCAGATTGGAGTTGTTCCTGGAACTTTGCACCAGTGAACTCTCCACCATTGTCACTCCAGAGGTACTCAAGAGCCTCAGTGGTGAATGACTCCTCTCCTAACTCCTGCTGGAAGTAAGTTTTGATGTCTGACCTCCACTGCTAGTAGGCCTTTGCAGCTTTGCTTTTGTGCTTTATGAAGTATACCCAAGGGAAGCATGTGAAGTCATCAACTATCACCACCCAATACCAGTAGCCTTCCCTGGAGGCTGGTGTGATGGGGCCTCCAACATCAGTGTGTACCATTTGGAAAGGTCAGGTAGTGCAAGGGCCTTTGGTGGGCTTGAATGGTAGTTTCTTCATTTTTGCTGTTGTGCATGGCTCACAGAACTCTGGTTCTCCAGTCAAAGAGTTGATGCCTGGGAGTTGGCCCTCCCTTGTCATGTGCCAGAGCCAGTCAGTGGAAATGTGTCCCATTCACCAGTGCAGCAAGTTTATGTCAACTGTGGCATGTGCACTCTCAGCTGGTATGACTGGGGTCACATTTGCATGGTAGAGGTTTTGCTGGTGAGCACCAGTCATGACTGGTTCCCTTCCCTGGTATATGGAGCAGGTATTTGAGTCCCCTGGGAAGTATGTGGATAGACCAGACTTCACCAACTTGTTTACAGAGATGAGGGTTACCTTGAAGTTGGGTACATATAGGACATCTGAGAGGATAAAATCATTTGTTGTGCCAGAAACCTTGGTTTTCAGTGTTACTGTACCAATGCCAGTGGCCTCAACAGTGGAGCTATCACCAAGGGTGACTGGTCTGCCAGGGTTTAGTTCCCTGAATGAAGTGAACCATGTCCAGTGATGGGCCATGTGCAATGTGGCTCCAGAGTCAATGATGCTGTTTGGGGTTTTTCCAGGAGCTGGCTTGGTCAATAGGTAAGCATGAATACAGTTGATTAGCTTTTGGGATACAGATGCGGTAGCTACATGAGCAGAGTCTGGTGGACTGGTGTCTGGTGCCATCTCAGCCATATTTGACTTCTCACCCTTCTTAGCTTGTCCTCCACCTTCCCTTCCCTTCCACAGCTCCTTTACCCACTTTTGGTAGGACCAACAGTTGTTGGTGCTGTGGCCAGAGCTCTGATGGTGCTCACACCATTTGTCTCCAGTTGACCCCTTTACTTGGGCCTTAAGGCCAGTTTCCAGTGCCCCAGAGAGTGTCAGTTGGCCAGCCTCAGACATGATGTGAGTTTCTACCTTATCAAAGGTCAACTTGTCTGGTTTGACAGTGTTGATGATGGCAGAGGTGAACATGCTCCACTCTGGGGTTTTTGGTAGTGAATTGAGTAAAGTGAATGTGAGTAGTTTGGTGTCAACAGCAAACTTCATGCTGGTGAGCCAGGATTCTGTGGTCCTCATACCAGCAATGTGGTCAGATATGCTCATTGTGCCATCCCAGGTGGAGTCTAGTGTTGGAGTTTATTGCCTTTACCTTAGTTGTGGTTCACTGAGCACAGCATTATGTAATCCAAAAGCGGACACTTAGCAGTTTATTTTTTCCTTACTGCACCTCAGCTTCAACCAACTTGAAGTCTGAGTATATTCCTCTCCATAGACTTGACAATCCTGCAGCATGTCATCCTCCAAAATCTAGTAATTGCCAGTACAGATAGTAGGCATTGGCAAGGTTCAAGTCTTCATGTAGCACTAACAGCACATCATATAGGGACTTTGCTGTGGTGTGTTTTTGGGTTTTGATGAGGAGGGCATCTGATAGTTGATCTTGTATGATGCTGTGTGCCTTTTCATCACATTCAGTCCACTTCTGGAGTTCCTCTGGGTCTGGTGTGGAAGTGTGGATGCTGGTGTTTGTGCCAGACTTGGATGTAGATGTGCCAGTGCTGGTACTGGTGACTGGGCTTGAGCCAGGTTTGAGGTCTGTGCCTAGTACAACCCCTAAGACCTTTCCACAGCAAAGTTGGACAGTGATTCAGAGTTTCCAGATCTCATAATTGTTTGGCCCTGTTAGTATGGGCAAGTCAGTTGCAGTGGTGCTAGTAGTAGCTGACATCTTGAGTAGTGAAGCTCGGGTGCCTGTTATGCAGGTAGGTCAGCAAACCAAAGGATTTTTGGGGGGAAATTTTTTTTGGGGGGTGCAAGTCATCTGGTGTTGTGTGAGGAGCTAGGATGCGCCCTCAGGGCTCATAACCTGACAAAAACTAAGTAGAAAATAGGTCAGCCACTGCCTGAGTATGGGCAAGATGACTGGGTATTCACCTAAGTAGAAAATAGCTAACATATAATTAGTAAAGTGTAAAACAAATGCAAGGGATAACTATACCTCAGCCACTGCCTGAGTATGGGCAAGACAACTGGGGGTTTTGTAAGTGAGAGAAGTGAAGTATATATATGTGAAAACAAGCTCATAAGAACAAGGGACAAGGGGTAAGAAAAGATACTAGCAGTGATACATAACCTGTCAAAAACAGCAGTGTGGAAAAAAAGGTCTGTTCATCTAAGGTTTGTCTAAGGTTCATCAGAGGTTTGTCTGCTGGCCACTTATGTAACCTTGTCACTTGTTGACAGACTATTTGTACTATTTGTGACTTTCCAGACTTTTTGTGAGGGTGACTTTTTTGACAATCTTGAAGCAGGCTCACATGGTTCACAAATAATGCATCATGAGATGTCATTCATTTACCACAAAGCATAGTAGAAAAAAAAATTAGAATGGGCATAGTAAGCACTTGTGTCTCAATTCAAGCACAAGTGGGGATCAGACTTGAAGCAGTGGAATGAGCATCCAAGTGATTGGGGGAGGGGTGAGAGAGAGAGTATGCAATATATGTATGAAATATTTCTGCACTGTGCAATGTAGGGGATTCCAATGAGGGGACATCCAGCCAAGTCTGTCCTGTCAACTTGTCAGCAAGATACTCATAGCATACACAAATCTTACAGATACTTTGACATAAATCAGTATTAACAGCAGAATAAAGCTCATCCATCAGGTCACCTGGAGAACTGCCATTGTCCAATGTCTCTGTGGAGGGGATAATGAGGGTATGAGCCATAGCAATGATCTCACTCATCATGGCATTATTGCATTTAGAAATGGATGTGTGATAGTCATGAGTGCTGGTGCCTCAATTCCACTCAGAGAATGCCAGTGCACTCGATGACTCCTTCCCAGACACTTTGTTGAGCTTGAGTGGAGTTTTTGCCATCACCCTCATACCATGGGTACTCATTTGATCATTGACTTGCACCTCCCCCCTTTGGAATAGCCAAATGGCATGTTCAAGCTAAAGTAACAGTTAAAACTGCAGATCAAGGACTGACAAAGAGTTACATACTGTGGCAGCACAAAGGGAATGTGCCCCTCTGACAGCATGTTTCTTCATCATGTTGGTGCCCAGTCCTGGAATGTCAGGGCATCTGATACACAGCCAAAGATGGGCATGTGTGAAGAGTTGCAGAATGAAGTGTGATCAATAAGCATGTGCTGGGTTTGTCACATTGAGGTCTTGATATAGGAAGGAAAGCACTCCATCCATGAGTTTGTTGCAAGTTTGCCTGACAGCAGTGGTGGACTGTGCATCATCATCTGGATCCAATGCAAGAAAATGAGCAATGAGTATGATGGTGGTAGAGCCAAAGTTGCTGCTCCACAGACTGAGTTGCCAAGTTGCCTGCCCAAAAAATGAGTGAAGCATCTAGTTTAAGTATAAACAGAATAATCTTACCAGCATGGAAGTCAGTGTCCCTGGGCATACTGCATGAGAATTGAAATCTGAGACAAGGGAGGTCATGATAATTCAAAGGGCAGTCATGAGCTCCAGATCTGGGATTTCCCACAGATCGGGGAAGAACCTGGCCCACATGAGGAGAGTGGGAAGCATTTGTTTCAACCATCTTCTATCCTCTTGCAGCTCTTCAGGCAATTTTGCATTGACAAAATGTATGCACCTGCAAGTTGTGCTGTTGGTCCCTATTGAAAGTGGCCAATCTGATGTGGAACTTGCTAAGGCCAACTCCCTTGATTCTTGAGTCATAGCTTTAGTTCCATGCTGGCTCCTGTCACTAACCTTCACTTTCTTCACTGGCTTGTCAATTCTGATATTAGTCTGCAACTTGACATACATAGGTTAGTGATGACCTTAAGTGAACCAGAGGACATACCATTGTAGTAACATGTGGCTCCTTTACAACCTTCATGTGAACATTTACATCATGGAGGTCACAGAAAGGGCCCCTGTCATCTGCTGTCAGGAATGTAATTTCCCTACTGGGGGAATTGTTTTATTTTGTTTGTTTTATTTTGTTTTCATTCTAGGTATTTTTCTGCTAGTGGTACTTAGAATTTCGCTTTTTGGTTGCTTAGTCAGCCCTACCTAGTACTGGATGTAGTTAGTTTTTTTTTAAAAAAAAACAATAGATGAGTTACCCTAAGATGAGAGATGAGTTCAAGCAGGTCATTCCCTGCACCAAGACAGCCTTAGAAGCCTTCAGATGACTACCAGGATCCAGTCCCAGGTTATAGAAGCCCCTTTGGCCTACTCACTCCCCATCAGATTTCACCCTTCCCCTCACTCTCCCATTTAAATCCTTTTCCTACACTGCATTCTCAACTTTGGATGAGGAGACATATGTATTCAACATTGTCACAATCAGCATGCCTGTGCTTTAAGCTGGCCTGCACTGCATGGGAAATAGGATTTTTGGCCTTGAGATCACTCTTGGCATCAGCACTTGTGTTAGTAGTGTGCACCATAGCCTAGAAATAGTACCAGTGTGTGAGAGAGACTCATGGGCTTTCATGATCAAAAGAAAAATACCTCAACAGGCTTCTGGTACCATGTAAACTTGGCAGAGATGGTAAGGGGGTCCCTGAAGTATTGTTCATCCTCATCATGGGCCACTGCAGGAATGTCATTGCTGATCATATGGTTAGTGGTTTGAACTTGGGAGCCCAATGTTACAGAATTGTGGGGGGTACCATTTCCAACAGGTGTGATGCTGCTGGCCCAGCTCTTGACATGACCAGCCAAAAGAGTCCTATTGTTCAGGGCACTAACATTCCAGGTAAGGTTCATTCAGTGAGCAGTAGGAGCATCATGCAAGAGAAGAGCACACCATACTGGGACTTTCCTGGGTTGGGTGCACATGCTGAAGTTGCCACATTGTCACCCAGCAGTTCAGTAGTATTGTGTTGTCTTGGCAGCTTATTGCTCAAGCCCAAACAATCATTGGCAGTCACATGGTAAGAATCTACTTCTATATTCACAACTGTTGATTGATTATCAGCATCCAGAACCAATGAATTATGAAATTTGCAACCACACCCTCACCATGAGGCAAGTCAGATATATTTGTAGGTCTGCTTTGCCTGCCCTTCAGTTTCAGTTTTGGCTTCACAGCTTCACTTTGACAGCATCTTGCATTGCCTGCTCTACCTCCATGGTTGCCTCCATCTCTGAGATCTGGGTGCAGCCCTGTTGAACTGCAGTGGTGCAGGTATCACTCAAACCCTTTGCATGCAAGTCATTGGCTTTCTTCTGGCTTGAAGTGTGTCATTTAACCTGCACATCAAGAACTATGTGTCCTGGGTGCAGATTAGCCTTCTCTCTTTGTGGACAATGACTTCTAGAAGAATTGTCAGCCAACATAGTACCTGCAATACAAGGTGGCAGATGGAGACAGAGCAAGGTGAGTTTAAACTTCACTTCTTTATGCAAAAAAGAACTCACAAACAATGTACCTAGTTTTCTGTACAAAGTCCTGCTTACCTCAAGTTAATTCACCCATGCTGTCCCAATGTCTTTCCTTAGATTGAAGATGCCTGCATGCCTGACATTTAGCATGCTATGACACCCTTGTGCTGAACTGGGGTGTAACTGTTGGTTTAGAAATCTCTCAGATCTTACTCAACACATGTGCATGCATCATCCTGGTTTAGGCCATGTTCCCCCAAGTTTCACTGTCAGCACAGGGTTGCCTGACCATTTGGGACAAGACTACAATGGAATGGACCACAATGCAGCCATGTTTCCTCCAGCAACTGAGTATGACATTCCAACTCCTGGCCATCAAGAACTCAGTGATGTTGATGGTGATGGTGGTGGTGATGACTCTGACTCATTGGGCCAGGAACATGAGAGTCTAGGGCTGGAATTCATTGATCCTGCATGTAGGACTTATTGCAATTTTCATCCAGGTCTGAACAGTAATTCACATATATGCTATGATAACTACTTTGACTAATACCTCATCCATAGCATGAAGATGTGATGCCAGCAGTCAATATCTGTTGGATGATGCACCACCACCACTGTCTGCAGAGAGGTCTTCTGATGACTGGTCCCCCTTCAGAAACCAGCTTGAATTCAAGCTTGCAGATTTTCTCTTTAGGCAGGCCAAAATGCCTGCCAAAAAAATCAACACATTGCTTGAAATCTGGGCTGTGTCATTACTTCCCTTATGTGGGGAACTGCTATTCACTAACCAGAAAGACCTTTATTGTGTCATCTACAGCACATCCATCAGCAAGGTCAAGTGGGAGAGTTTTGTGGTGTGGTATGCTGACAATGGATGAGATGGACAAGACAGCAATATGGCTCCTTAAATGCTTGACAGTTACAGTGTATGGTATTGAGATCCACATAAAGTCATCCACAATGTCCTTGCTCACACTGACTTAATAGGTCAAATTGACTATGTACCATACTAGGAGTATGATTCTACAAACAATCAAAGGTGCTGGGAGGATTTCATGTCAGGAGCCTGGGTGTGGAACAAGGTGGTAAGTAGTGCCCACTTCAGCTTGAAACTTGATGCTAACTTCACTCTCCTAGGACAGAATCATTAGTGAAGATCCAATGATGGCTGGGGCGACACTAATTCCCATTATTCTTGGTAGTGACAAGACAATGGTATCAGTAGCAACTGGCCAGACTGACTATTACCCCTTGTATCTCTCCATCAGAAATGTTTGCAACACTGTTTGTCATGCTCACTGCAATGTGGTAGTCCTCATTGGGTTCCTGGCAATGCCAAAGAGTAAGATCCCACATTCTATGAGTTTGTATCACTGCTAACATACCATTTAGCCACTAGAGAACATGCTGGTTCCTCTGCTTTCTGAAATTTCAAAAGGCAGCTTTTCCACTCCTTGCTAACATGCATTCTTTGTTCACTTTGACCCACCATGAGTGTCCCAGAAATAATATTATGTGGCAACAAATACTATTGGTGTGTCATATATGCACTAGCAGCTTATATAGCTGACTATGAGGAACAAGTTCTGTTGTCTTGTATCATATAGAATTAGTGCCTGAAGTGCCTCACACACCAGGAGAGTCTGGATGATGACATGCTCCATTATCATCATGAGCATGCCAATGCTGTGATCAAAGAATTTGACTTTTGTAAACTGTGGGACACATATGGGATTGTTGGCAACATAGTGGTAAGTGTAACCCCATGTTTTCTTTCATTTTCTAATCAAAGACAGCCATTTACAAATGATTTTCCACACACAGACATCTATGGCATGCTTTCACCAGATACCCTCCACCAGCTTATCAAAGGTGGGTTCAAGGACCACCTGGTGGATTGGGTCAAGTGTTACCTAATCCATGTTCATGGAAAGACACAGGTGGAAAAAGTCTTGGACAAAATTGACTGGCAGTATGTGACTTCAATCAATATTTGTATCTACTTCATGGTGTTTCAGGATCACAGCTGTTGCCCCATATACTGGGCTGCAGCATTTTCCTCAAGGTTGACACTTCAAACAGTGGACTGGCAACAATTCCAAGGGCCTTATGAAGGTGTGCTCATCTGTATTTCCTTCATGTGATTATTGACCAGTCCTTCTCAGGTTTACATCACAGCAATTGAAGGTTATGTTCCACAATATGTTGTCTTCACATTTTGAGCCTTTCTGGAATTTTGTTACCTTGTTCATTGGAATGTTATCACTCAACAGATGCTTGTTGAAATTGATGATGCACTCAGGCACTTCCACCTTTATTGTGAAGTCTTCTGGAATGCTGGGGTAGTTGATACCTTCTCACTGCCATGGCAACATGCTATGAAGCATTAATACCACCTTATCTGTCAGTTCAGTGCACCAAATGGCCTCTGCTCTTCAGTTACAGAGTCCAAACATATTAAGGCCATCAAATGGCCTTATCAGCACACTAACCACTTTCAAGCTCTCAGACAGATGCTTTTGATCAACCAGAGGCTTGACAAGCTCATCACCACACATGCTGGCTTTAAAGAACATGGTATGTTAAATGAACCATTACTATCACATGTGCTTGGGGCTCTGGGTATGAGTATTAATCCTACGATTCACCCATTTCTGATGGGCATTCAGGTCAATGTTCCAATGATGCCAATGATCCATACAACCAAGTTTGGGAAAGCCATGACATGGCCAATGAAATTGAAAGAACAAACAGGGAGTTATGAGGAGGAACCAGGTGATACTGTTGACACTCCCAGGTCAGTCAAGGCCCATGTATCATTGGCTCATACTCATCATATGTCTTAACCTTATACTCTGTACATACTCAGATGCTAACTGGTTTAAATATCTTAGAATGTAAGTGCACAAGGACAGTAGGTGCCCTAGCAGCTGAACTCTGCCTGCCACAGCTTCTCAACATTCTGCACCATTTCCTCTACTTGCAACTCTTTCCCACTGATGATCTGGATGACATCCCCCTTGACAAGTGCCCACTCTATGATGGTAGCATGCATGTCTACAACTCTGCATGTTCCACTTTTTTTGCACAAAGCAATCTATGTGGCCTCTATGGCATGTGCTGTGAGTACATTCATTCCTGCCCCATGTGGAGGAATGAAGGACCCTGTTTTGACTGTGTCTTCATTGTAACCAATCCAGAGGCAGAGGGTATGCATGGACTGGACATTGCCTGCATTCTGTGCTTTTTTTCATTCAAGTATCAAGGCACTTTGTATCCATGCACTGTCATACATTGGTTCAACTGAATGGGGGATGGCCCAGACATAGCTACAGGGATGTGGATTGTCTGCCCAAGTTACAATCCACACAACATCCCACATATCACCATCATTCACATTGATGTGATATATCATGTGGCCCATCTCATCCCTGTTGATGGCACCCATGACATCAACACCAGGGACATCAAGCCTCATGACTCCTATGATATGTTCAATTCCTTCTATGTGAACAAATTTGCTGACCATTGTGCATTTGAAATTGTATTCTAGCTTGCCATGGTATGCTCAATGTGTGCTCAAGAACCACCTGAATCAATCAGCCAAATTTACCATGTAACATTTGCTATCCAATTCCTGACCAAGAGTCAAAGCAGGTTCATCTATCAAGTTGACTGGTGGCAGCTTGTACTAATTAGTATCCCAGACTCTGCACTGGACACATGCTCACCTGCCATCTGAACCAACCCATACATCTCTGAGGTGTGTCATCTCATCTCATAGTGACTACAGTTGCTAAAGAATGCCCAAGCGACTGGTGGTCAGCTTCCTGCTGCCCCTGGTCTGCAAGACATTCACCCAAATGCCTATGCTAACCCATCTACACTTCCACCTGGCTTGAGTGGCCCTCTGCTCCTCCTTCAGTTGACTTCCACCCACCCCCTACTTAGGTCTGACTCCAGAGGTCTGGGAAATAATGATAGCCTTCATTTTCCCCTGCCTCCTGTGCCTGTTAGCCATGCCTCTCCTCCATTCAGGGGTCTTCCCCCTCCTGTTTCCATCAATGAATCACAGCATCCCACCTCTCACACTGCACTTTCCCCCATGGATGTCAATGCCCCCATCACTGTGACTTCTCTGGCCCTTCCCAGGATAGTGTTGGTCATGGTGCCACTGGTCACCCATGTGTCTTGCCACACCACCCTGTCCCACAACAGCAGCTCCTGACAGAAGAACTATAATCTTCTGCCAACCAGGATCTGGCACAGCACTCAGAGTACTTCAGCCACCCACTACATGTCCCTTCAGGATCTGTGTCACCTGCTCCCCATCCCACTTGCCCTTGCTCTCTTGTTTCCACCTTCCCAGCCTACCCTCCTCCAAGTCATCAGCCAATCAGGCTGGCTCAGCTGAGCATTCTGGCTTCCAAGCATACACCCCCTTTGTATCCACACAACCTACATGCAGCAAATCACAATATGGCCTGGGATTTCCACAGTCCTCACCCAGAACACCACTGTGACTGGGAGGATCATGACCACCATGGATGTTCTGAATATCTGACTCACCCTTTACAGCAACCTTACTATGCCTCCCATTCCCCAGGACCTCACTGTGCTCTAAGTCCCATGGAGACATCCCCTCACTCTGCCCATCACCCACAGCCCCATTGGGACTCAAAGCCCCCTGGTGGCCCATCCCATCAACCTCTGGGTCCTCCTGAAAGTGGGCACTGGTGCTATGATCCCACCAGATTCAACACACATGAACATCTGGTGGAGCAAGATGTGGAGTCAAGAAGGCACTCAAGTTCAGTTGTTAACTCACCAGAGGCAGTACCTTGTGTCCCACTTCATACAAATATTCACATGTCTATGTCTCCAGAGCCATCATCAGCCAACTTGAAGAACAGGAGGAAGAAGCTGCAACTGATGAAGGGCAAGGATTCAAACATGCAAAGTACTGGTGGGTCCATCCCTAGTGATGCCCCAAAGAGGAAGAAGCATCAATGTCAGGTCAAGGATGACTCTGCCTGTTTGGATTCAAACAGGTTACCCACTAATCTACCCTCATCATTCAAGGTCACCCCATTCTCAGTGAAGGATGGACCAGATGTGGCAAGTTTGATGCAGTTCTGGACATTGTTTGCTACAGCTGTCACTGACTAGTGCCACCCCACACCTGCTGTCCTGAGTGGTACATGAAGATTATGATGAAGGCATTGCTGATGCATTGGTTAACCTGTCCCAGACCAGTCCTGCCAAGCAGTTGGCTTCTGTGCATGACAACTACAATGTGATGATGCACTTGCCAACACTGTCTAATGCAAGCCACCACACCATCAATTTGCCACATTATGCTGCCCCCCATCATCAATCTGCATTGTCCTCCAACAGTCCTTCACCTGCTTCATCCAGAGCATCATCCCTCAAGTGCCTACTCAGTCCTGCAATGGAGGAAACAGACAGTAAGTGCACTCAAGTTGAGAGTGTGAAGTGAGGTAGTGGTTTGTCTTCTGGACAACACACCCCTGTTCCATCTTGCTCATCTTGCTCCTTCCACATGCTGCCCACACCACACTCACCTGATTCTCATCCACATAACAAGAGTCACTCAAACATTTCCAAGACAAGGATTCTCTTTTGATGGATGCATGTATTTCAACTGTGGTGGGTGCAGGCAAAGACTCAATGAGTGAGTGCTTGCAGACAGTACTCAAAAGGTGTTAGAATGACCATGTGGCCAACCATCTGGGACATGAACTTGAGAAGCAGTTAGGTGTTGTATATGACTTGAGTACTAAAAGAACAGAGACCCCTGTATATACAGTATATGGCACAGAATAACACTTTCTTTACTAATACTACTACTATCTTGACTAGTTTGACTTTTGAACTTTTCAAGAATTACTATCTTGACTATTTAAACTATTTTGACTAATCTAAACTTTGTCTGTATTGAGTGTGACCAGAAATAGCCATAATAGTTGAAATAGATAAATAATTCCATAAAAAGCACAGGTGGTATTTGGTTAACTTCCTGATGATGTGTCTATGAGTGCAGGTCTTTTATATACCAATGTACATGAGGGTCAGTACAGAAAAGGGAAAGAGACATCAAAGAGAATGTGAGGTTCATGTCAAGTCATTGGAGATTTATAGGGATCTGCATGGGTACCTGTAACCAACACAGGTATCTGTACCCATACCCATGTGGGTGTGGGTGGGGGTCTGGCTTTCAGACACCCACAGATTTCCATACCCACACCCACAAGCCAGGGTAGCCATGTTATGTTTCACCTGGTCCTTGCCTGCTGCTTTCCTTGTGTTGATCCTATGGCCTATACTTGTCTTTTCTAGCCATCTTCTCTTTGTTCTGACAGCCTACTATTACCACCACTAGCATTAGTCTCTCATGCCTTGCTGCATACTCTTGTTGTCATTGTTCAACCATTGGCATATTTGCTTATGGACATGCAGGCTGTTGAGAATACAGGTTGACATCACACCCAAATGAAGAAACAACACTATGCCTGAGGGTGGGATGAATGTCATACCCAAAAGGGGGGGAGGGGTAAAAAGACATAGCAGGAATAAGGGCAGAAATACCCTGATGAATGATATATCAAATACATGACATAGATACAAGGTAGCTATTGCACAGGAAGTAATCTCGATGAGATGAGAACATCTGCTTGTCAACCTGCCTACTCACCTGACCACACTGAACTCAAGTGATAATGCACAGGCCCAACCTTGCACCTCTGCCTAAGAGAGTTACATCAGCCTACCAGCATGCATCATTGCTGAAAGGTTATGAGCCCCATCTGCTCATAACTTACCCATCACTGAGTCATCACCATAGAGCTAAGAGGGTCCAATCACCTATCTGCCTGAGGGGAGAGAAGAGAGATATCAAGAACAAGGGCACCAGCCAATCTGTAAGGCTTGCTTCCTAAACAAGATGCCACCCCTAACACACAGACCAGCAGACTAACATGGTCAATGACTCTTGTGGGACCAGTGGCATCAGCCACAGTTCCGAGGATGCCTTTGGTAATGTCACACTCACTTACAGACTCATCTACAGTGGTAGGCCCCTCATTGCACCCAATGGGGTTGAGCCTGGCCATCAAATGGTCCTCAATGTCAACAATGGTGATGTTGAAAGGGAAATGAAATGCTAGGTGAGAGAGGACAATAGGGGGAGATGAAGGTAGTGAAGACAGGGAAACTCACTGCTAATAGCTGGAAGCATGGAAAAAGAAGATCACTGCCATACTTTGGCTCCAATATTGGTACAAAATGGTGACAGACAATGACCCAAAACCATCTGACACTCTAGTCAACCTGTCATGACCATGACATTGGCATAAGCCCCTAACATCTACTCCACCCTCTTCTGATGCATTCCTGCACTCCTCTGACCCTTCTGACACATCTCTGCACCTTTATGAGGTCCCCTGTCCATATTCCGACCAACTCCACCCACCTCCACTCTCAGGCCAGTCATGTGAAGGCCAGACCTTCACCTGTGCCTCCTCTGAGACCTTGGTCAGCTTGTCAGGATGTCAGACTTGTGGCCCTGCATCCCAGATAGGGTTCTGCCCTTGTGTCAGTTTTTCTCTGTTCTTCCACTCCTTTGGTATTTACCCTCTCTCCCTCATTGTAGTAGTTCCCTTGTCTCAGCTAAGGTCCCTGTCATCCCTATCCTCTATCCCTTGTGTCAGAGGTACTGCTAACCTGTTATACATTTATTGGCTTGCATTCTACACTGCCCTGCCCTTGACCTACATCATATATAAGGCCATGTAGTACTCCAATGTAATCAGCATGAATATTGACAATAAAGTCCCCACTTCCAACTCCATCTGAGTCCCCTCTGGAGTTTTGCCTCCACTCCCCTGAGTCCACTCTGCCTCTGAAATACAAGGGCTGAGCTCATGCAAGAGGGCAGCACACTAGCTGAACCCAATGCCCTCTCATCTGACCTCTGACCTCCAACTCCAATTCCTGTCTCTGAAACTTTCCTCCATACCCCTCTGCTCACTGTTTGTTGAATATCTCACCACCCAGTGGTTGGATTCACTTCAGACTTTGACTGCTGTATTCCACAGCCCAACCTGCTCCTACTCTGCCCTAAGAGGAAGTCAGGCGTGTTGTGTGACTTTGACACAACCCCTTTGGAGACCTATTAGGGCTGGAAATTTTGATAGATCTATTAACCTAACTGGTGTCATTTTTTTGGGAATCCCAACTTTTTGGGCTTTCCAAAGGCTAAATAGATCTGCTTTCCAGGTCAAACCTGGACTTTTCTCAGGCTAAATAGACCCACATTCCCAAGCCATGGCCAGTTGGAAGCCATTCTTACAGAGTTACACAACTTGAGACCATCAATGATGTCACTTGCATTGGAATCCTTTCTGTGGGGTTGTTTCTGAGTAGTGATAGACTAATAAGAGAAGATACTCAGGCTTCTATTGGGAGAAGACTGAGGTACAACCAACCTAATAAGAGAAGATACTAAACAGCTTCAGTAAGGTAGCTGTAACT